AATAGTCAAGGGAGTCCAACTCCAAAGGGCAGAGTCCACCACTCTTGGAAATGTCCCCATGTTGTAGTCATGAGTATCTGCTCAGTTCCAGAAGTGTTGTGTATATTACAGAGCATGGAGTTTGCTTTTTCCCTCTGTGTTTTGGAAGAATTATTTTATTGCACATAGTGACAAAGCTGCAAATCTCAATGGAGGTAGAAAACTAATTGCAGTTGTTGAGGCTCTTTGAGGACTTTATAAATCTCTGCTGCCATCCTGGACTAGATACCACAGAAGGGAAAACCCCGTGATAGCTCTGATTTTCGTATAGCTTTGTTTTCAGCTATGTGACCATAGTCACCTGCCTTTGTATTCATAGAGCTTTGAAGATTGCTATGGAAGTGCATTTGTAGCTGTGCGTTTGGCCTTATTCAGCCAAATGTGAATCTGATTACATGGTATCTTTTCCCCTCCCTCCTATTATGTTCTCTCTTGAGTCACTACAAATAGAGACAAGTTTGTTTTCCTTTGTGTTAGTGAGTTATAGAGACCAAAAGCTGTGTTTCATCAGGTCAATATGCACTCATATGGTCACAAGGGCCAGTCCTTCTACAATACACCATTCCACATGTTAGGTTAAAAACCCTAACCGCATGCTTCCTTTTATGAAAAATTCCTTGTCATACCATGCCTGTCAATGGCTTCTGTGGTGTCATAAGTAGTAAACAATCTTGGAAAAGCTTATAGAGCAGTTCTAGTACGCTGCCAAACAAGCAACAGTCACGGTGCTAAGACAGCAACCCCTAAATGCAGGGTTTAAAGTGTGAGCTTGTAAGTAGTGTTCATGTCACTCTGCTGCTTGCCTCAGCCGGGAGCATCATAAAGCAGCTCAGATTCCCGGGAAGCGTGACCTATAATTAGCCTAATTGGCCACTGGATGTCAGTATCTTGCAGCCTAATTGGCCGCTGGATGTCAGTATCTTGCCGTAGAAATGGCACTGCAAGGAGCCTGGATTTTCAAGCTGCAGAAACCGGGGTTATTCAAGATGGTTTTGTTGGTTTTCTTTTTATCTGTAGTAATAGCTTCAGTCATAAAATAGTAATTGTACCCCCATACACGTGCCCACCAGTCAACGTCTTGTGAAAAAGGGCTTGAGACAACTGTAGCCTTTGAATGGGCAGAAAACTTTTGTAATAATTTATTTTAGAGTTAAATGAAGATATGCTGCTGCAGAGATTAGAAATAATGACAAAATCGCAGTTGGAGACATTACTGAGTTATTTAGAGTTGATTTGTGTATGTACACCTGAATCGGTTTGCTTTGACTCCTACCTCCACTTTAACCAAGTAAAACCTTCTCCCGCACAGCATCATTTACCTGGTGCTTTTACAAGTTAAAACCAGCGCAAGGGAGGGGACAGACTTTCTTGGCTAGTTTCCTCTCTCTTCAAAGGAAAAAAAAAAAGTAAAGCAAGAGATGGATGAAAGACTCTCCAGCCCCACAGCCTCATGCATTTTTGATCTGTCATTGTGTATAATGGCGCTTTCATAGGGTGCCTAGTAAACATGCTGTGTTGCAGGACTTACGAAAGGGGATGTTTCCCTTTCTGGTATGTCCTGGGTGCAGAGCATGCCAAAACTGTCACTATGGCATTTCCAGAGAGGTGTTGGGCACACATTCTAGGAAACATCCTGCTAGACACAAAATCTCAGGTGCTAAGGAGGATTAGATGAGGTGTTTTGGACTATTCTCCTGAATTCAGAGGCCTAATGCTGCTCAGTGCAATTTGGGATTTAGGGTTTTAAAAATTCACTTGTTGCACTGAATGTTTCTTTTCACGGGAACCAAACTGAGCTAAGCTTACAAAAAGAAAAAGGAGTTAGTCCTGTACATGTTTTCCCCTTAGGACCGGTGACTGCAGGAGCTGGATACCAACAAAGTGGAAAAAAACAATATTCTGTGCCCAGCTATGCTCTGATTAAAGTCAGCAGTAGAGAAACTAGACCTGAAATTACCATTTGGGGAAAAAAAAAAACAACAATGGCAGACAGTAAATTTGTTCCTATAAGCTCTCTGAAAAGCATTATTTAGAAACAACTTTCGCCGGCAGTTTTCTATGTTAAATATATACTGCCTATGCTAAATATACATGGTAACATACAGTATGTCCAGCATATTGAGACTGACTTGCAATTTTCAACATGTGATTAAATTAATATGTGTTTATTGTTAGAACTGTAGTGGAAGGCTGAACAAATCGACTAATTAAAGATATTGGTGGTTTGGGAGCTTTTTTGTTTGTGCTATTCTTTGCCTGCACATAACACCCACACAGCTCACAGCTGACAGAGAAGCAGACTGGAAAATCAGGTTTTCCCCTTCAGCAGGAGTTTTTCTAGCTCTTCCTGAGTCTAGCATCACTTGGTTTCCTTGCTTCTGAAATCATGACACTAACCACACTTCTCAGCTTAAGGGTTTTGCTTTATGTCCCTTCCGTACTATTACCAAAGAGCATGAGGACCGAACTTTCCACTTTTTCTTTAACATGTGTTACAAAATAAACAATGCCAGTCATTCATTTGTAGAGAGCATCATGGGAATGCTATGCAGCCCTCTGTTAAGGATAACAGTGGCAGCCACGGCTCTCCGATCAGTGGGAAGCTGGAAGGCATCTTCTTTAGCTGCAACACTGAGTTTAACACTGGGAAGCCACCACAAGATTCACCTTATGGAAGATACAGGTTTGAGATTGAAGCTGAAAAACTCTTCAACCCAAACACTAACTTGTACTTTGGAGACTTCTACTGCATGTACACAGCCTACCACTATGTCATTCTCGTTGTCGCCCCTGTTGGATCACCAGGAGATGAATTCTGTAAGCAGCGCCTTCCTCAACTAAATATAAAAGATAATAAATTTCTAACCTGTGATGAAGAAGACGGTGTTATGGTTTACCATCATGCCCAGGATGTTATTTTGGAAGTAATTTACACTGATCCTGTGGATCTCTCCCTCGGCACAGTTGCAGAAATTACCGGTCACCAACTAATGAGCTTGTCTACTGCAAATGCAAAGAAAGATCCCAGCTGCAAAACCTGCAACATCAGTGTTGGACGTTAAAACTTCCCTCGTTACTTAGGAGCCTTCAAACCTCTGTTGCCCAATTCCATAGTCAGACATTTCTGTCGGAAGCATGCACATGCCGCTGTCACCAAAAGCAAATACGAGTCTTCAGAATCTCCAATAGAGTTTTTAGTATTTCTTCTCTCCCGCTTTCCCTTCTGTTTCCCTAATGCTTTAAATGATTAGAAGTCCTGGATTTCTTTCTGGCAACCATTTATAACTAGATGCTGCAAAAATTGTTTTCTGTTTCTTGCCAAATGTAACAAAATCCTATATAAACTGCTTTAGCAAAATAAAAATAACGGCTTATAAATGGTGTTTAAATATGCATTCATTTTAACTACTGAACAAATACTGGGATAATTCCAAACAGCATGAAAGGTTGTAATTGCAGCATGATTTGAATTTCGGAGCCTAGAAATGTCAGCACTTCCAACGTGTCGTTTGACAGTGTTATTTATGTTATTTATATTAGCTAACTGAAAACAGAAACTGTGTCTCAACATAATAAATATAATAGAAAAATATTTTATTTGTACTGTTGTATAAAATATTATACAATCATATAGAATATATAGATTACATTTTAATATCAATTGTATACATATGTCGTGAAATCATTTTCCCTTATCAAAGATGTAGTTTGTAAACTTCAAATAGCTCTGTATCTGTTCCTGTTGCTCTAGATGACTTTAATTAAAACAGATTTATGAAGGAGACCATTTCTGATTCATAAATGTTATAAATTAAGTCACTCCACTCAAACAAACAACAAACCTCTGAGAAATAAAAAAAAAAAATCCTTCTTTAGTATTCATACTTTTTCTTCCAAACTACTTCAAGATGTGTATGTCTTCAAAATCATGCCAAGCCATTACATACAATGTAAATACAAACATGAGTGGTACATAATAGCCTTTATAAAATGAAAATCTTCTTACAAGATAGAAAAGAGGTTGCTTATATGACAGGGGCAGTACAAAATGACAGTTAAAGCAAAATACCAAATGTGATTTAACTTATTCAAGTCCCTTTTTTTTTGTGAAATACTTCCTTCCTTTATGTCTGGGGTAGCTATTTCCTAGAATCCCTGCTTTTCATTTCTAGTATAAAAGCCATTGATAATCCTTCTGTTAATAGTCCACATTTCACACAAATGGTCTATCACAAATAGTGAAAAAATCTTAATATTAGAAAGTGTGGTGCTCTGAAAGTTAAGAAAGACACATAATTCCAATGGAAAAATAACCTTATATAATCTCATTTTTTAGTAAACAAGAAGTCTAGCATTCCTCATCAGATAACTGTAACAATTATATACCATGTACTTCATCTATCCAAAATAGCATAATGCAATTATCTAGCCTTTTTTAATACATATATATATATACGTAGCAATCTGTAACACAAGAAATACTTTGACATTTTACAAAGTGCATGCATCTAAACGAGCTTTGGTACTTAGAAAAGCAAATATTTGTTATAGCATCAGGCAAAATAAAGTGCAAAGTTTAATACAGAAATTAAAATTAGCATGTAGTTGATCTATTTACTGAATTTTAAGTATGGTGAGCCAGGTTGTGTGAACTGTATTGAAAAGGACAGCAGCCAGTACATTTGTTTTATCTCTTCCCAGTAAACTGTATCTATTTTCTTTTGTCAAAGTCTTTCTCTTATTTCTGAAAAAACAATAGTTTTATTTGGCAGTCACATTCCATCCATTCTTCCTTTTTTTTAAATTTTATTTGCATAGGCAGCATCGCTTTATTTTACTCCCAGAATTTTAGACCAAATCCTGGTTCTTTGAATGCACCTTTCTTTGAAGCTACTGTAATTGAATGGCACCTCTGTCTCGAAAGATTATAGTCATGATTTTTTCCTTCATTTGTTTTATGCTCTTGTTTCTTTTAATCTAGTGAATTACACATTGAGAAGCAACATTAATAGTTAATTATGGTGCAAGTTAATTCTGGTAAGAAATGTGTGGTACATTACCGTGTACTAAGAAAGATGTACTAAAAACCTGCAGAGTATTTCCTCGCACCTTTTTAAACTAAGAGCAGGTCAAACTGAGGGTTTACATTACATCAGTGTACTTTTAATTTCTAACATTCTCACAGTGCATTTCAAGGCTTTTTTCAAAAGGAAAAAAATATATACTATAGTCCACTCACCTGTGCTTAATATTCCTGCATATTGCTGTCCTCCCTCATCCCAGCTAGTATAACTGGTAAAGTGCATGAGAAAATCTCAGTGTTAAACAATTGTGCAGTGGACCAAGACCTGTAAAATTGCTTCCTCTTTTTCATTACTTGTTTGCTTGTGGTTTTTTGTTTCTTTTTTGCTACAGGACAATACACAGCATTACATTCACTTCAAATCGTTTTGGAAATATCATGCTTACTGATGAGAACCTCCAAGAGCCTAATTTTGGCTTTTGTGTGCTTGTACTCAGTGTATTCCTCAGCCATTGGTGCCCGATCTTCTTTTTGAGGACTTCTAGGAAAAATAAATGAAAGTGCCATCACTTTTACGAGTATGAGGAGAAACAGTCTTTAAAATTAATTCAGCAACAGCTAGTGAGGATTGGGTTGGGGTTTGTTTTTTCTCCCTTTACTGTGGGTCTCTAAAGATAATTTGACAGGGCCAAAAAGCTCTAATGGGCAGAAATGAAATAAGAGTATTTAAAATATTGACTTTTCATATACCAAGTAGTTTTCTTTCTTGTCAGCTATGCAAGCTTAACTACTTCATTTTGAAATATGCAGAGAAGACACCACATAGTGCTTTGAAAACTGTTACCAGGATACTACATGCCCATATCTTCCATTTTCACCAAACAAGTTTGCTAAATGAAAGGAGGAGGAGGATAAGCAAAGAGTGAAATGTAACCAATATTTCGCTTTGGGTGAAAGAAACAGTGGCTTCTGGTTTGAAAACTGGCCTTTTAGAAATGACCCAACTGCCAAGTGTAATCTCTGCAGATTGACATCCTCAGAAAGAGTCTTTAGGAGCCTCCCTTCAGCCCAGGAAAGATCCTGTGCTGAGGTAGGATTTATACCCACTGCAGACATGTCCTGGAACATCCTCAGGTATAGACCCTCCTCAGGGATGCCCACATCCCAGAGGAACTAAGCACAGAAATGGACATCTCCACAGAGACCAAACACCTCCATGGTATCTTCAAGTCTCTAGCTGCAGCTTTCTTGTCCTGCTCACCTAAGAGTAGCTACCCTAGCAGAACCCAACACACCTGCATAGGAGCTCAGTGAGAAGGAGAGGGTTTTTGTTGAGCTGGTTATTTACCTTCCTGTCTGTTTATAGAATTGTTCCTCAAACTCTCTCAGAGCTTTACGAAGCCTTTTCTTATCTGCTCTTGTTTCTCTGAGATGTTCAAGCAGGACGGGCCTGTAAAACGGAGACAAGAACATGGAACCCTTGTGTTTGGAAGTATTGTAAACACTGCAACTTTGGGTAATAAGCAGCCTGCTGCTATGGGCCACAGCAGGTGCTGCTCTCAGTGCCCCTAGGCATTCCACCACATCCCTCCCAACTACAGATATAACTAGCTGTACCATCACATGTGATAAACAGTTGTGCTGTGCACCTTCCCTTACACTACCATTCCCACCCTTCCAGTAAAGTGAAGACAGAGCCTTTGTGGACAGCATAGGAGGAAAAGTTTTCAGGACTGAGGATTGAGTCTTGCTTGTGGTCTTGATTCTGTGTGGAATTAATGGAGTTTACAGGGCTCGGCATCTCACAGGAAATGTGCATCTCTGTAACTGATTTAATAAAGTCAACATCCAAGCCCTACTCCTGAAAACAGCTGTTACTAGACATTACTGTGATGCAGTGGAAATGCTAGTGGTATCAAGAATCAACATTTTTGGAGGCCATGTCAGCTGGTGTTTGTAGATTAAGTTAAGCAGAGAAAAAATTCTGTCATGATATATGCAGCTGGTATTTTTTTTCCATAATAACAAACATCACAGAAATATCTCCACAGCATTTGCAACCAAACTGTTACATACATAGTTGAGTTACTTAGAAAATCAAGGTATTTTTATTTACTCAATTTTGGTAGAGCCCAGTCAACTTCATTTAAGCACCTAAGAGCTCCCAATAAAACAAAAAAAAACAAAAAAAAAACAAAACAAGAAAAAGATAGTATCCATAAACTTTCTGTTCTATCATAAGCTACAGCAACATGACAGTTCTGTCATAAGAGCATCTGTTTCTGGAAGGCATATTCCCCAGCAAGTTGCAGGGCTGAGTGATAAAAGCCCATGTGCATCTTGAGATTTGTTGTGTCATGCAACCAGAAAATCTTAACTACAAATCAGAAGGTTTTGAGTTTTATAATGGAAGGTAGGAGGGTGGTGCTAAGTGTTCTGGGCATCCAGACACTAAACTATTCTTATGCAAGGAAGAAATTGATTTTACACACATTCAGTGGCCCCCCACATGACTGATCCCTCATTCAGTTCACCTGTGGCTGTTTGTATGCCTCATGTCTCTGGCCTTTTTGCATCACTCACACTGTCAGTCCCAGCACGTGAGAGCAGACTACCCTGCTTGGCCAAACTGTGATTTGTTTTATGACTGCTTTGTAAGAACATAAGTAACTAGGTATCTAAAAATTTTGCAGTAATTATCTGGTAATAACAGGTCTGAATAATAGGTCTACATATCTTTACTATGTCATTGTGTTGTACCTACCACTCTGTATATGTAGTTATTTCTCCTACCTGCTTACATTCCTCCACCTTTCTCTTCATGGACTTGGCACAAAACTTTGAATAAGTTGCTCAAACCATAGGTAGCTGCCCAAATAACAAATATCCTCTGCCTCTTTTCTCCAGTAAGAAAACACTGAATCACTTGTTTGGTATAGAGTATTCCCATGCAATAAGTATGGATCATGTTTAAATTACAAAGTCTACATGAAATATTTTAAAATATCTGGGGGGAAAAAAAAAAAAGAACTTACATTGTTGCCTCATGTAAATTGGACATAGACAAGGCTGTTTGCCTGAAAACCTTCTTTTCATCCAGAGGTGAAACATATGCAGGCTCACTTTCCTCCTGAGAGTAACACAGGTGCTCGTCAACAGGAAGGCAAGATATTGGACCAAATGACAACTCATGGCTGCTTTGAGAATGGTCTTCATCTGAGTCTTCCTCCTCCTGCTTGTAAGATGTAAAGCATTATTAAATGGGTTTACATTACAATACTAACAATGAATAGGATGACAATGTAAAGAATTAGGATCTAACTTCCTGGATGTATTCATTGAAATAGATTACACATATTGAAAGCTTCACCCTGGTCTGCCCAAGATTGTTCATAAGAGCTCTCCCAGGGCCCCCTGAGTTACTGTGTATTGTCCACTGAGGCTAAAAACCACAGAAGTTTGCCCTGCTTCTGACTATCTCCAGACAGCAATTTATTTCTGTTTACTCAAAAGCCTGCTGGAACTTGTAGTCCTCTTATATACCATCCACTGACTGTATTATGCCCAGAAATTCTGCCTGTAACAAGAGTTGGAGGTAGAGATTCCAGTTTCATAGCTACAAACGTTAAGTAGCAAAATAGAGTGATGTTCACTGCCTTCTTCATGTTCCCTCATCCTCAGAAGAAAATTTGAGCTTTTGAAACTAAAGCTTAAACATAAAAACTCCATGGAGCAAGGCTCCTAAAAAGTAACACAAGGGAACTTCAGTTAAATTTTTAAATAAAATGTCCATGTGTACACAGGTCTACACTGGGATTTTTCAAATAAATCTAAAGCTCCACTGTCATCTATAGTTCATAATTTTTAAAATCAACCCCTCCCCAGTTACTATTAGATTAGTATTTTTGGTAGGCATGCTAATTAACTTCCAACCAGCCAGATTCCATTACCTCTACGCAAAGTAAGACCAGCACCGTTACATTACATTGATATTAAAGTACTACAAATTATATTCATGTGCTACATGATTGATAAAAACAAAATATAGAACATAGAGTGACTCCATAGTTCTTCATGGACACAGGTAAGTTTCTTTCTGTGTTGCATGTGTTAGCCTTAATGGAAAACTAACACCAGCCTTTGACCTCTTACCCAGTCACTTGAAGTGATTGCCTCAGAAGCCACTGCCACACATTGCAACCTCTGGCATGCTTAGACGTTGAATTTTGCGGAGCACTTGCTCTGTGTGAAGCACCCTGCTTTAACCAATGAGCAGAGTCTTCACATATCAGTAGATCTATTGCTGCCAAACTCCCATGCAGGTACAAACCAAACACAGCTTTTAGCATGTTTTATTGACAATGGATATAAATTCTTTCCAACTTACAATTGTTGTGATCAAAGATGGAGTGACAAGAAGTTTCTTGATAATTCTGTATCTGTCATAAAGAGGTTTCATGAGATTCTTTTCTTGCTTAGTTACCTAAAGAGAAATCATAACAAAATATACTCCTCCAAAATAAAAAAATACAGAAATTTTGCTCCTGTAAAGCTAAGAAAGATGTTAGAAGAATATGACCTGATGTGTATTTTGCAGATACTTCATGGGAACTGTAATTTAATCCATAAAATTTCTAAAAAGGAAAATGACAATCTGTTTTGCAATGGAAATACCCAATGTGGTTTCCTCACTTCCTTGAGCCACATGGCCTAGGCAGAGGGTAAACTATTCTCTGTCTCTTTCTGAAGATGCTAAGAGAGTCATAAAGGTTAAGATATGCTTCTACTGTGCCACTGGTATCTCAATTAACTCTAATAATGGCAGCAGGCTAGCTACAGCAATGTGACAGTCTACCTGGGACAATATACTCAGGAGCCCAGGGGGACAGCTGCCAGTGCAGCTTTACAGCCTCAGCGAGTGAGCTGGCTCCATGCAGAATTGCTGTGTGCATCCCTTGCTGGAACTGCCTTCCACAATAGGGATTAACTGTCTATTCATTTTGTTTGGGCTCTTATGAGCACTAGGAGCATGGATTTGGAGGAGAATAGTATTTTAGAGCAGGTATTAAGAGACTTATCTAGCCACAAATGTTTGTAAGTATAAAAAAAACCTTATGGAAACTATCTGTGCAGTAGACCAAGTTACTGTGTTTAGGAAAAAAAAGAGCAAATCCCACAGGAAGAAACAAACAGAAAACCAACATGTTCTCCAGTGAGTAAATGCCAAAACAATCATTTGCAAACTAGTCCGCTATCAGCCCCTGTTCCTCAACTCACATGCCTGTCAGCACACATAGTACAATTTCACTGTCTTTTGACACTGCAGTGCTGCATTGAAGCCCAGCTACACATGCTCAGATGAGTGAACAAACAGCAGGTCTGAAGAGACAGACTGGCTGACAGTATGAACAATAGTTCAGAGCTGTGCAAAAACAAATATCTGATCAGCAGGAGCAAGGGTGACAGCAGACAAATGCAGGTTGGTGACACTGCATATTTCTGGCTGAGTGAATAGTTAGGAACTATTCCTAGAGCCATGTTTCACCAGGGAATGTCAGGGCTTGCTTAGGCAGCCAAGTCCACCTCTTTTCCCCAGTCTTCATGTTCCATTTGATTGCAACACACAAGAGCACCGGGAAATGCCAAACAAGCCAGAACAGATAATTCTTTGTTTAAAACCTTATGAGTGCCCTCTCCATCTGACTTTGCTTAGATAAGTCTGGATAAAGATGGTGTTCACCCACGCTACACATCAAGAGGACAAACATCATCACCAGTACTCTCCACTGTTTCCAGGCTGCTGTAGCCAGAATACTCAGAACATGCAGTAACTTGATATTTTTTTCTGGTGGGTTCTCTTTTTGTACTCCCAAAGAAAGTTTCTACAATAACTGTGACATTGTCTAGGAATTTTGCTTTTTGTTTGCAGAAAAAAAAAAACAAACAGCAAAACCAAACCAAAACAAAAACTGCAGCAAACCACCAATGTTTTTGCATAATTGGCTAAATTTTTGATAATTGTCATGGAAATCCAGTACACTCCATTCAAATTAACTTTTTGATAATGCCATGGTGTGATATTTGTTAAATGACAAGGCATGTCATGGGTTCCTAGGTCAAACATCTTAAGTAGGGAATGTTGAGTTGTCATGGTTTAAGCCTAGCTGGTAACTCAGAATCACGCAGCCTCTCGCTTACTCCCCACCTTCCCGCCCCTGCTCCCAGAGAGATGGGGAGGAGAATCGAAAGAGTATAACTCTCACGGGTTGAGATAAGAGCAGTCCAGTAACTAAGGTATAACACAAATCACTGCTGCTACCACCAATAATAATTATGATAAGGGAAATAACAAGGGGAGAGAACACAACCGCTCATCACCTGCTGACCAATACCCAGCCTGACCCAAGCAGCGATGTAACCCTTCCAGGTAACTGCCCCCAGTTTATATACTGGGCATGACGTGCTATGGTGTGGAATACCCCTTTGGCTAGTCTGGGTCAGGTGTCCTGTCTCTGTGTCCTCCCGGCTACCCATGGCCCTCCTCACTCAAAGAGCATGAGACTGAAAAGTCTTTGGTCAGACTAAACATTACTTAGCAACAACTAAAAACATCAGTCTGTTATCAACGTTGTTCTCAGGCTAAAGTTGAAAACACAGCACTGCACCAGCTACTAAGGAGAGAAATAGCTGTACAGTATTGTGAAAATCCATTTTCTGCACTGGCAAACCTCTTTGGTAGTAGAGAGGCATCTGGTTTGTGAGCTAATGTCACTGGAGTTCTGCTACCTGTGCACTCATCAATTTGCCCTCTCCAAGTCATCACCCCCTGGCTTTTACAACCTGTGCAGGTTTCTCTAGGAGGTACCTCTTGGGCCCCTCCAGCTCTGAACTGTGTACAAGGCCTGCGCTGGCCACTGAGTGCAGGCCTCGCTGGCCTCACTCTCCAGCTGTGCTTGGTGCCCAGGATGCATGCAGACTCCTTCCCTCGGGAAAATACAATCATATAGATACAAAGGTTAAAATTTGCTTCTCTAAGACACATGATTATTTAAGCGTGCAACCTTGTGTGGAACATCTCCATATAGCTTGGTCATTTTCAACAACAAAAAAAGAGATGTAAAAATGTTGCCTAACTTCAGTTTCCTTGCTTAAAATTCTTTCGTGTCCCTGATCTTTGTGTGACCTCAAGTCAGAGCTGTTCGGCAGACCTAAGGCTCCCTCATGACAGCTTAGTATCACTGATCACCTCTTTCCTTATGCAGTTAGCATCCTCCTGCTTAGCTGGTTATTCACCTCCTTAAACCTTGAGAAGAAACAGACTCTCTGAACCCCATGCTGCAAAGTCCGTCCTATTATTTTCTTTGCATCTTCAAATCTCTTTTACCTCTATATGGCACTAATAACTCAATTTCTTTTTTGTTCTTCTTCATAGGAAATACAATTTCTTCATACACTTCCTAGGTATTCTCTCTCTCCCTCAGCTCTCTTTCCAAGCCCAAAGAAGATGGACAAAAATTATTTTATCCAGGATGCAGAGAGATCAGACACAGATCACAATAATATTAACAGCTGGCATATTTTTGGACACTTGCTGGTGCCGTTTCTCTTTTCCTCTACTGCAACAATTACAGGTCAAAAACAGAGACAGTCATAAGAATGTAGACATCAAACAGGAGTTCCTCAGTTGTGTGTAGACCAATTTTCAACTCATCATCTCACCAATGGTGGCAATTCTTTGTTTTGTACCTGCATTCAGCAATGAAGTCTCTTGAAAGGATTTTAATTAATAGTTATAAGTGCTGCTGTGAAATAAAGGAAAACACAGATGACAGGTCCTGTCATTCATGTCTCAGCAGATGCCCTATAAGCCTTTCACCACTGCTATGCATTCTAACCTTTCATATGCCAAGCAGAGTTACCGTATGCATGAGCAAAGTCTGTTGTGGATATAGACTCATCCACGTTTATCACAAAAACCTGCAACTTCCAATCATGAAGAGAGATACAGGGTCACTAGGAACTTGCCTTTTTAATTTATTTTTTTTAAATAAAAACCAAATTCATCAGTATCCAGCAATAACATTTATATCTGAAGATTAGTTTGAAATAATTAAAATTATGTTAATTGTGTAAAATTCATTAAATATATTTAATATATGAGTCAAAAAAATTTGTTAGAGAAGTTAGATAATTTTTAATTTACCAATCTTTCCATGGTATACTTACAGATTGTCCATGAATAGTCTCAAAATATAGTAGACATTTCTGAAGACTGATTTTTTCCAAAGCCATTTGTTTTTTTTGTCATATCCTATTTAAAAAAGTTATTTATAAGATTATGAGTCAGGATTTCATGACAAGGTTACAGGTACGTATCTGCTCAATAATCTTTTCTCCCCAGATAAACATTAATAATGAATTTTGCTTCTGTCTGCACTGAGGTCATAGGGACTTGGCATTGACTTAGCAAGAGCAGAGTCCAAATTTACATGACTGAAGTTTCAAGTTAATCAAAGTATATGTTACCCCCTGAAAGCCTAATGCAAAGCTGATGAGAGCTGTGGAGATACTTTACTGATTAAAGTAGGCTTTAGGTTAGGCCTTTCCCAGCAGAAAACACACTGTATTTACTTTGCCCGGCCAAAGTGGACTCCTTGAGGTCTGAACTTGTGCTCTTTCTTCTGAAGAAAGAGGCATGAATAAAAATCTACTGAAAGGCTGGAACCTTACTTTTCTTAACTGTCATTATACAAAGATGTAGTACTTGATTGCCTTGATTTCTTTCAAAGTCACTTTTCTATGAAAGCAATTTAACAAGCTGAAAGTCAGGAAGCGGTATTAGGCTATTGATAGAACACTTCATCCTGAGATGGAAAGTTTCCAAAGGTACAAACTATGGTCTCAGTCAATAAGGCAAGAAGCTTTGTGTGTCACTCAATCAGAGCGTGCATCTGAAAACTGTTTCTGGGAATACTGGTTGACAGAAAGTCTGAACAAGCAGAGGTTTTTGCTTCAATATTGTAGCCAAATTGCATGCACATGAGGTATATCTCATCGATTGCATTTTGGAAAGGCTGGCTCACAAAAGACCACTGCAGCACGTGAGCAGAAGGTTGCATAGATTTAAGTGCAGTACTTTCCCAGAACATTTTCCAAAGTTTAGGTAACATTTATGAGTAATCACTGTAACAGAAAACTAAAGAAATATTTTCTCATCCATCCTAGGGAGAAATTAATTAATGAGATCTGTATGTTGGTAACTTCTACTTGCCAAGTCAGTTCACAAATCATAGATATCATTCCCTGTTATATATTAAATATGATTTAGTTGTAATAAATGAGAACAACCACCATTCTAGACAAAATCATAGAAACTTGCAAAAACAGAGAGGACATAATTCAACTTTTTAATTTTTCATTGAGAAAGATTGAGATTTGCCTTGGCTTGTAGGGGATTAAGAACAGAAAGTTTCAGCTATGCAAACACATAACATTTACAGAGTGGAATGACAGATTCACAATGAAATCTGTAAATATCCAACCATCGTGATATACTACGTGAATAACCCATAAATGCTGAGCCTACTAGAAAAAGGTGCTATCTCTAAAATGAAATGGAAGAATAATCTGATCAGCCAGCAGGAAATTGAAGCTGAAGTGTACATACACATCTGAAGAACTGCTACGGGGAAGCTGCAGAAAGTGCAGCCCTTTAATAATATTGGGAATGAGGGCAGGCTTTCTTTCTGTTGCCTCACAGTTTTTGCTCTGCTGTTGACCTAACACTGCAGTTGGTTCCTGTTGGTTTCTGTTCAAAAGTAACAATATGATACACTGCTACCAGAAAAAAAGAATGTTTGTTTTTCATCAGTGCAGTTTGTCAGTTGGTGATTTATTAGTATATATACAGATGACCATATTAGTGTATGTGCCGGGAGCACACAATTTAACTGGTATTTCTCTCCTCTCTCCTTTCCCCTTATTCCCCAAAAGATCTGCTCCTAGCACTTGCATGTTTTCATCTGGGTTGGAACAGCAAGAAGCACGTGAAGCTAATGTCCTTTTCCACAGTCTCTGCCAGGCATGACAGATCTGTATAAATGAGGGCCAAGTGTTTGGAGGTTTGGAGGAGCGCTCATCCACCGCAATGAAGTAATGTGAAGAAAAGTGGCACTGGGGGCTGGGGGAGAACACAGTGCCTTTCTGAAGTCATGGCCTGATGACTAGGTCATTGTATTGACAACTTGCAGAAGCGTTTTTAATAATTAGCCTCTACTTTTTAAAAACAGATCAAGTGCAGAAGGAGGAATGCTTTTCTGATGTCAAAGGAGTGCCTTGCTATTAACTTCAGCAGGAGCAAAACCTTTTTTGCTTGTTGCCAAAATGCAAAACCAGTGCAGAACCACTAATCACATTTTGCCTTGAAGGTCTGTATGAGTTAATCACTCCAAAACTCTGTCATTCACGTGAATGCAACTAGAATGCAAGAGTATTATAAAGTGGCTAATTTGTTTATTTATAATTAATACAAGGTTAATTCTTTCAAAACCTATTAAGCCTGGAGCAGCTGCATGGTTAGGAGGAAATGGGATGATCATTAGTATTGATTTTACACATGAGAAACAATCTCAAGAGGGTTTAACATTTGGGCCTATTTCATTAGCTCATTTTATTAGCCATCTCAAGACAGTTTATATTCAGCTAAGTTTGAAAGGGATAATAATTTCAAAATCAGAGAAGGCAGGCAGAATCTCAAACTACGGAATTATCTGAGACATCTTAGGACTGTAGGCTGCATACAACAGCACAAACTTCAATGCTAATTAAATAAAAACACTGCTTCATAGCCAAGGAGAAGATGAACTGAAGCAGATCAATAATGAGAGGACAGATACATAAAGGCAGCCAGACTGAGAAAAGCCTTGGGGGACAGACTGCAAATGCTCAAACTAAACATACGGCAGAAGTTATTTGCTGCATATAAAGAAAAAAGGTACAGACACATGCAAATAAAGTTCAGGTTGTAGTTTGGTTTTCAAAACTCAGGACAAGGGCATACAAAATATTGTTTGAAGTTGTCTTCCTCACTAGATAGTTCCCTGAATGATTATGCCTTTTAAACTCACTGCTATTTTCCCAGGCAGAAAATACAAACTCTGGGGACAGGCAGTATGATAGTGGGGACTGGTCCTGGGTGAGGCCTTTCGCTCTCAGAGGCAGCATTTGGTTTCCATGCAGGCACAAAGTCTGGGTTCCCAAGGCCTGCTATGTCTGACACATGGTTGTGTGGTAGCAGCTTCTAACCCAAAAGCAGTAAGAAAAATTTTAAGGAAGGCAAGTGACATGATACATCCACAGAACAATGCCCCTTTCCTTCAGCTGAAGATCAAGCCAAGTCTGACTGCAGCCCCACTGTGAAAGGCCATGTTTGCTGGTGAACCACAGTGGAGCACCGCAGGGCTGCTGCCCCTCCTTGGTGTGACTGAGGCACCAATTACATCGCCGGCCATTAAACATTCAGATTGGCTTAAAAATCAGGAGGTGGGCTTTGAATTTGGAGTCTGGGGATTTGGTGGGGTCTTTTTAGCAGTATAATTCAAATTACGTCAATTTGCCTTTTGGCTCCTGAACAGGATCCTACGTCCATGATCTTAATTTATTTTCTCTTTCCTGAAGTCTTGTACCTAAAAATGCGGTGAACTGTTAAGATAAATTGCCAGCTCCCAGCACAAGGAGCTAGTGACACAAACAGCAACAGGTGCCTATCCCTTTTTGGGTTACTGAATCACTCACAGGTTAACCCCAATTTTCTCTACATCTTCTCATTCAATAAATTTACTCACAGGCTTTTTTGTGAGAGGGGTGTTTTGTCCTTAAAACCACATTTTGCTATTTCATATTCAGATCTTGTGGTTTGTCCTTTTTAAACATACTGGCTGGTTCAGGGTTTTACTCTGTGCCTCTCTCAAGGACACACATTCTCTCATTTTTGTTTCAGCAGGGCCTTAGAGGTTTTCTACAGCTGAACTCTGGGGAAGAACTTGGCAGGCTTTTATGGAAACACTATCCTTGACCAAAATAACTAAATCTTAAACCTTGAAAGAAGAAACATGTAACTCCTACTAGTTTATTATTAATCTAACTCAGATTCTGGTACAGCATCTAAATGCTATATACAAAATAAAATGTTGCACATAAAAAGTATCTACAGCAGCACTAAAGTTGCCTATAGCTGAAATGAAGACTTTGATCTGCTGTAACCTGCAGATATCCTTGATTCGTTTCACCTCCTTAGTGCTACAAACTTCATTCTCCTCCAATTCATAACTAAAAGCCAATCTTTTTTAATGTTATAGTTAAAGACCGACTAAAATATATAATTGTGAAATAGATATTTTTGACTTCATATTATTCATTTTCAAGCCTCTATTCCATAACAGTTACCTAGAACTATTACCAAATGCCTCTGCTAACAGGTAGCTCTCTCAAAGCAAGTTCTTTCCACAAGAATACAAGAAGAAAATAAATAGGATCTTAAAAAATATTTGAAAATATTAACTGTGCAAACATTTAATTTGCATTTACAGAATTCTCTGTGAATATTTCAAGCCAGCACTGCCACTGCACAGATTTAGGAGGTCCTCTTTTAGAAAATCAGAAGTGTAATTAACCAAAAAAATGAGTGGGACAGAGACGCACACCCAACTTATAAGAGATTTTTCCTGGCCAGGATTTCCTCATGGCATCTGTTTTGCTGTCATCTCACCTCACTCCTTGCATAATTAAAATAAAAAATGAAAATAGGATAGTACAGTCTGCACTGTTGGGATTTTCGGACTACGTACAGAACAGCTTGGGTTTGTTGTCATCCTTCATTTTCTTACAAAGGAGTTCTGGTTATGAAACACTTTTTCCATCTCAGGTTTTCAAAATCAGTAGTTTATAAAAAGAAATTATTAAAAAATCAGTCATGTATGCAGAGCTCAAGATCCTCAGAAGCACATATCATTATACACAGTTTTATATAGTAACTGGCTGTTTAAGAACAAACAATAGAAGAAAACAAACCAAACCAACCAAGCAACCAAACTAACAAAACAAAGACTTATCTGCTGGGTATTTTTTGCTACTGAAATCCACCCAGGATCAATTCATTGCCTTGCTCAGCTGTATATCATCAGTAATAGCAGCATCATTTGACAGCAAAAATAGCCAAAAAAGTAGCATTCTTATGAGCAGTATGTCTTGCAGAACAGCTTTTGGCAGAATCTATAACATGCCAGGGGTGTGAAGGTACAGCAGGATTTTCAATATGTACTAATTTCAAAACAAAAATAAATTGCCACCCAAGCAAGCATGTTTCATGGAATATTGCTCCTACATTTAGAGCAATAATTGAGAACGTGGAAGAGCAGAAGCAGTATCAGATCAGAAGGGCAAAGCAGTCTGGATGGTTGTGTTATCCACATGATCCTAGTGCAGTGCTATCTATTGACAGGAGAGAGGCTTTCAGCATTTCTCAGGTGAGAGGGGAACTTCAGGAATGTTTTTACTCACACAGTTTCTGTGGACTGGAATGCTTTTGCTGATGTTACCTTCAATACACTGGAATACACACTTAACTGCACACACAACCTCAAGTAGGTAAGTTTCAGCAGTGCCTGGCAAACAGCTTTATACATGCATCTCTGAGCAAAAAGCATTTAGCACTATATGAAAACCCCTTTTGCACCTCTTTTTCTGTGCAACTCTTGACAGAAAAGTAGACTTCAGAAAACTGCACTAGAGTTCCCATCTTGAGAGAAAATGCACTGCAGTGCCAGAAGTCATAGGATGCACATGCACCAGCATACCCTGAGACAGCTACACGCTAAATAATATCTGCCTCAGATGATAATGCTCTGAAAGAAACAGCCATAACTTCTTAAATACCTTAATAGTCTCAGGAAGATTGAAGTGCTGTCTTTTCTCCTTTAATCTTCTCAATACACTGTCCATGGTTTCTTCTACTGAGGGACCTGGTTCCATGCTTGTGGCTTCCTGTGTCCCAGCCTCTTTAGAGGTCCCAGTGCTTTCACTATGATCATTTCTTTGGGGTGCTCTAGAGGTACAGTTTTGCTCTTCTGACATTCTTAGTTTCAGCTCTGAAAGGAAAATTACTTGGTAAGTAAATTGATTAGAAATATTTGCAAAGAAGTTTCTTCCAATACTACAAGAAAAAAAAAAATCCTATTTCTTGCACACAATTATGTATTTTTCTTTTCCCTCGCAGTCCATCTTTGACATAAAAGGTGAGGACTGAGGAGACACAGGGTTAAAAAGTGGGCCTGGGTAGGAGAATCAATGCAGACTTTCTGTGGGAGTGAGATTAGGAAAGGGGCTTAAAAAGACAAACAGCCCTTGAGAATATTTGTGGGAGGTTTGAGGGGGAAGAAGAGGGGATGTGGAAGCAGAGCTCTCTCTCCCCCTCTTCCTCTCACCAAACCCATGCACTCTCAATTGATTTGATTTCTGGATGAGTAAAAACATGTCCATGCATGCTGTGGGGATTGTTGTCTAAGGATGCAGTCCTTCCTGGACACCTTCCTGGACAAGAGGTAGCATTTCCGCAGGCACCTGCCATGCTCTCACTCCAGCTGTGCTTGCCTGCTCTCCTGTGCTGCTGTGCAAGTGAGGAGAGTGAAAGCCCTCACCTGAGCATGGCTGGGGAGCCCAAACTGTGTCACAGAGCCCTCCATGCCAGCTGCCAGGCTTCTGAAGCCATGTACTCCAGGTCTGCATAACCAGTCCAGCTCTTCTCTAGGGCAATTCAAACCATAACGCTCCCTTTCAGAGGCTGCATTGCTATCCCAGCCAGGCTGCTGAGCTGGTCCTTACATGGAGAACCAGACACTGTTTCAATGACTTCCCTTGGCAGAAGAGTACCTGAGCAACCAAGCAGAAGACGTAGAGGTTACAGCTTGGCCTAGCTTCCCAGTCAGCAACCTGCCTGGATGCAGTAAAGGTGTACATATACTAGCCTGATACCAAGCCAAAGACCATGGAGCTCTAGAGACCTGCACAGAGCAACAGGGAAATTGACTTAAGGCTGGAATTAGCGCACACAAACTCAGGCTTTGTACCTATCAGTCGTATGACTGGCTGGAGAGGGACAGTGTGCAAGGCAGGAGACTGATGGCTCCAAATATGTTTGATTAATTGAAATCTGCACAGAGACAGAAATTTTTTTTTCAGCTGTGACAGTCTGAGGATACAGGTCAGGTTTGTAGGGGAAAACAATAAACTCAGAGAGCTAAGAAGGATGGACAAAGCCTTACAGACTTGAATGACCTACAAGCACTTGAGTGTTTTTCTTTTTTAGTTGTACTTGTTTCATGAACATTGTGAATCTTGCTTCAGTTAAAAGCAGGATAAAAAACTCAAGGGTGTTCACAGGATTGAGGCATTTTGGGTGTGAAGGTGAGGCTGATCTATGAAAGCTAGGCTCCTTGGCTAGTTGAAGGAATGGTTTAGTTGGAGAGATAATTTTCAGAAAGTTAACTATTTCCTCTCATTTGCCCTTCCTGGATTTGCAGCAAAGTTCAAAGGGGAAAAAAATTCAGATCTAGTAATCATGCAGCATAGTATTTAAGAGAGATTTTTCCAGAAGAAATTTACTGAGTGATGAGTTTCTTTATTTACTACAGTCACACCTTCTATAGCTACATTCTTAACAATATCAAAACCAGAGATGAAAGATAATACTACAATTTAATTAGTAGTGAGGATCCATTTATAATTGAAAAATAGATAAATTATAAATAGCCTTTAAAAAAAAAATAAAAAAAATCAATCACTCTTGTCTACACTCTCCCTGAAGGCAAGCATGTGACACACCCACAGACGTTAGTGGGGTGGTACACAGACAGTCAAGGGCAAAATTTGACCCTGAAGACCAAATCTAATATCAGGGAAAGATCTGGTTTTATGATCAAAAAAGTAAAAACTTTAAAATTGCATAACCTCAGTCCTAAAGGAACATTTTGCACTACATTTGAGCTATTACAAGGACACTTTCAACTTTGTAGTTCTGTATTTCAGACACATATAAAAATATCCAGAATTGCCTTTCATATGAATGTTTATAGTGATGAGGGAGAGGTGACATCTTTTTCCTCTTCCCCTTTTTAGCCTTGTTATGAGGATTGAACTGGCTTACATTTATCCCTGATTTCAGGAATCAAGGCAAATCATACCCTCTAATAAACTTTGTTGTCATTGAGAGAATTATTGCCATGCATTGTGAAAAATAAGCACAACATAGAGGTTAGAAAATTAGCTCTCAAATATTCCAGATACACTGATGCTTCCAAAAGCTTTGGCAAAAAGCGAAGTGACATGCTATATGTACCTTTGAGCTGCTTACGACCTTTGGCCAAATCATTCATCCATTTCAGAACTTCAGGATTGGAAGTCTTGTCACCATGAGAAGGCTGAAAATAAAGCATAAAGGGAAGAATAAAACAAAGGAACTGGTGGTTATACAAGCAAACAGATAAAAACTTATCCACACACAGTGTGCTGAAAAATGTCCACAGTTCCAACTGCACTATATCATAGTGTCACGAAGAGCATTTGGCTTGATCATGATACAAATTTGTCATGACTTGTCTCTCCCCATTGTGACACAGTGCTACATGGGTCTGAGTATTTTGGCTCTGATCCTAAAAAAAACCAAACTTTTAAGTCCTTAACTAACTGGGTAAGTAATTTCAGTGACTTCAAAGTACTGATCAAATACATAATGTTGGTCAAGTTCGTAAGTATCTTCCAGCTTAGTAACGCAAGCATTCTTTCCCTTAAAAGGATAAGCTCTTACTGCTTTAAGACAGGGATTCTCTTGTGAAACAGCATTTAAAAAATTTCAACTGAACTCCTGAATTAATCAAAAAGTCCCGTGCAACAGAGGATGAACCACAGAATCTTTGCATATCAGTCCTTTCTTTGCATTTAGAAATTGCCTCCAAATTAAAAACAATTTACACTGGATCTTCAACACTCAGACATTTAAAATGGCAAAACAGTTTTGCAAAATTAAACCTCTGAAATAATTTTTTTTCTGGTCACAGTGCTAGAAATGACTGTTTAGGTATGAAATTTTACTCCTAAACATATATAATGACCATAAGGCAGTACAATTCACAAATGTATGATTAAGTTTGCAGACATTGATGAAATTACAAGGTAATATATAATTTGCTTTATTTTCATTTTAACGTAGTCATAAGGTATCACAAAATTCCCTGTTTCATACTGTACATAACATGACAGATGTTTTGTTACATTTATACTGCACAATTCACCTTACAAAAATTAACTTGATATGAGCAACGATCTTGCATACACTGCATAAAGCATACCATTGACCTCAAACAACCACCTCCCCCCAGCAACACATCCTAATTTTTATTTCTCTAATTTCTGCCAGTAGCTTCTATTGAGCTGTACGCTTTGAATGCTTACAGAAGTCTGCCCAAATGAAGGAATGTTCATTGAGAAGTAACAGTTTACAAGCAAATGACTTCTACAAAGTAAATAAGTAGCTTTCCATCTTTTGGATCCTTTCAGTTCAAAAGCAGTCAGCTATGCTTCACTGACTCGCACCTCTCACGCATCTAGAAGATGGGTATTTTGCAATAAAGATAATTCAAAGAAAATGTGAATTAGAGTCTCAGAACTACTGCATACCCTGAAAGATAATAAAAACATATTCCCTCATTGATGATTATCCTATTTCATTTTACCAAAAATACCCTTTCTGTTATTTTTTCTGCATAAGTTTTAATACACTGAGATTCTTGCCTGCCTCTTGCAGTGTTTCCCTTTACCTTTTCAGTTATTATCTTACCAGGTATTTTCTTTCTTGCTCAAATTTTTCTTCATACTTCCTAATTTTTCTCTTGAGACTCTGAAGATGCTTGGTAAGTTGTGCTACTGTGTGTGGTTCTTTGCAGTCTTCACAGTTACATCTAGAAGAACTTCTTGGCCTGCAAAAGTCGAAAGCAGAGTAGCTGGATCAAAAAAGTGGCTATAATGAACCATGCCTTGTTTCAGGCACATTTAATGCTCTTCTAGCACTCCAGAATACATATTTAAGTTCTTTCACCTAGAGGCAGTTTAGTCTTACAAAGCGAAACTAAAATAATTTCTTTTGCTTGAAGATACCCCTAGAATATACTACTGGGTTCACCATATTTCTTTTACCCTTTTTTTTTTTTTAGTTAATTGTGGGATTTTTTAATATTTTTCAAAAGTTTAATCTAGTAGGTCACAACCTGGTCCAGTATTTACATCTTATTTCACAAATCTTCCAACTGTAATGGGAGACTGTAACACCATGATTTGTCAAAGTAAGCTCAGGGAGATTTTTATTACCAGAAATAAACATTTTCATTTTGAAGGCTCTTCAATTTGTGATTTTTTACAATTTCAAATAATAGGTCTGATTAGTGTTCATATGCAACTGAAAGCTATATACATAAGATTTTAAGAAAGTTTGGTTTCTGGAGATTACATATATAGGCTGTTCATATGTTCTTTGACATTCATATCTAGTGAATGATGGGAGCTATTGTGTTATTACAGCTGAAATTTTTTACCTTGATAGCCCTCTCTACATTCACTCTTCAGAATAATCACTAACTTTTAAAACTGTTTCTTGCTAACTATAATTAACAAAGATGACAAACAATAGCCTGCTGTGTTATCAGTGAAAAAATGCTAGATCTTGTTTCTCATATCGCAAATTAACCATGCCAAATTATGCTACACTATGAAAAAACTGTAGCTGAAGTATGTAAGAAAAAAAATAGCTGAAAAAAACCTGAAGAGTCAAAGACAGCCTTCCAATATCTGAAGGGGGCCTACAGGTATGTCAGAGAGGGACTTTTCATCAGGGACTGTAGCAATAAGACAAGGGGTAATGGGTTTAAATTTGAACAGGGGAAGTTCAGATTAGATATAAGGAAGTTCTTTACTGTGAGGGTGGTGAGGCACTGGAACAGGTTGCCCAAAGAAGTGGTAAATGCCTCATCATGGGCAGTGTTCAAGGCCAGGCTGGACAGAGACTTGGGTTACATGGCCTAGTGTGAGGTGTCCCTGCCCATGGCAGGGGGGTTTGAACTAGATGATCTTATGTCCTTTCCACATCAAACCATTCTATGATTCTATGATGATATGATTCTATGATTGTAGATTGTATAAAAATTATTTAACATATATAAGAATTAAAATATAATTTCTTACATCATGAAAGGTTGAGCACTTGGTGGAGAAGGGGCAGACTCTGTGTCTAGATTAAATCTCTGGCTTTGGCTAAAGATAGAGCAGCGTGGTGACAAAAGAGGATTGTCGCCATCTGTAATGTGATACAGCAGTCGACTGGTCCCTAGGGAGTGATGTTCTTGAGGGCTGCTGTCCATGTCATTCTGCCAGTCTCTGTGAGCTGGCACAGGCTCTAGAAAGAAAGCATAAGCCAATACAGACTGAGGGTCACACACAGGATATTTAGCTACCCAGATAAATACATATCTACACTTACAGAAGTATTCAAAGCATAAGTATTCAAAGTAAACAGCAAATAGCTCAGCAAAGTATCACATGCAGGATGAATGTACTACAAAGGATAAGAAAATAGAAAGGATGGTTACTACCTTAGCATAAAGCAATTTTGAGTTCCAGGAGAGAAGGTAGGTAGGTATGTTTGTAAGCTATAATGTAAAGTATAATACAAAGATGGAGAGTTTTCCAGAATAGCAGCATTAATTACATTTTCATATATATGTTTGCTTTTGAAAGCCACAAAAGAAGTTTATTTTCTGATGTAGCATTTAGTCCTTTGGTCAAGAGAAAGGCAGGTCAAAAATACAACATGTCCTGATGCTAAGAGCCTCCAGTGTTGCTTGCTATATCCTGCAGAATTTCAGTAATGTTTGAAGTTGCATACCCATGGGTCTAAAACACACAATATGCGAAAATAAAAAAAAACAAAAACAAACAATAACTTTCAAGGTAGTTATTCAAGGTAGTGTGTAGTCACTGCTACTTGGAAGTCATGCTTACAGTACTATGTTAATATTGTCTTGGGCTATACAGGGAAGCCTCACCTTGGGTGCCTCAAAAGGTAAAAGATGATTTATAGAGATGGCCAAGCTAGAAGTCAGAATGACTGATTCTGGGCTGGAAAAGTAGGAATTGGTGAACCTCATTGCACTGTTTATGGACAACATGGAAAATAATGGGCACATTACAGAGCCTACCTCCAGGGAATACGAAGAGTTCATCTTCCCTTTGCTGTACCTGGTTATGCTCACGGAAAGAACTTGTAAATGTTCCCCACCCTCTGTGGGTAAAATGAGTGAGGATGATCTAGCCTAATCAATTTTTTGCTATCAGATGATTGTGCTTTAAAGCAGATTATACTTTCAGAAAGAAAATCCATAAAATCTCATAAAAGCTCTCCCTCCAAAAAAAAAGAGTTAGTATATGTTAAAACAAAGAATGAGCTCTGTCTCAGGTTCCCCTATATCAGTTTCCATAGTGCATAATATTTTTACACCAGCCACATTATATTTTTTCCTTTAAAACCATGTATTTTCAGGCAGCATGCATGTTATTTCTAATCAGTATTATACCTGCAGTCTAGCATGCATTCTAATACATTTCACAGAAACTGCTTTTTCAATGGAAGTCTAAAACTGCACAGAAAAACTGTACATGGACTTATTCACAAAAGAGCGGTCAGATTTAGAAAAGTTCTTTCATCTTCACTTTCTTTCCATTTTCTCCTTTGTACATGGGACAGGACATTCCCATAGCGAGTTGGTATTTCTTTCTGGATTTTAACTGAACCTTTGCAGTAGCTTTTATTTGACCTCTGCCCAAGAGATATGGAAGCTACGAATCCCTATTGCTGCACTGGGACAGTGGGAACAAAACAGCTCTGAATGCTACCCTTGATAGAACCATTGCCTGCATAGAACGCAACTACTGAATTAAAAAATAATAGTTGTAATGGTCTAAAATATCACTTTATTAGGCACTATCCAACTCTTTTTGCTTTACAGACAACAAAAAATCTAACTTTATACTACATGATCACAATTCAGCGTGTCATGCAAAGCCTACACAGCTTTTGTATCTCTAAGTTCATCTTACTCTAACAATGCCATCAATTATAAATACGTTAAGCATTTCCACAATGAGACAATGTATTTGGTTATTGATCCTTTCCTCTAAGTACTTCATACTCTGTGAGTCAAATTCAATTCTCCAAGGCACGAGAGCAACACCCTAAACTTCAAAATTGTATATGAGATTCAAATCCACACATTGAGACATCCAGAAACACATGTGGGAAAAGCAAGTGTAGAGATTGTACCAGTCATGGGAAATTATGTACACAGACAACAGACAGTGATAAATGTTCTTCTACAAATAAAAGTATTGTTTCTTTATGGTAAGTAATCCTTCCTTAGCCCGTAAGACATAAAGAAATTAATAGCTTTGTTTGTGTTTTGATTTGTTGGGTTTTGGTTTGTTTGGGTTTTTCTTTTACTTCTGAAAAACAATACTGTCAATGAGAAGAAACTGGATTCCTTCCTTTTATTTGACCATCTTTGAACTTCAAGAAACAACCACAGTGAAGCAGGGTGACTAAGAATAGTTTCACTATTTCTCAAACACTGTTACTAAAAGTAATAAATTTTTTTTATCATCATATTAAGTAGCAGTCTCCATATTATGAAACAAAAACAATGTCATGAAAAAAAAAATGGAGCCAGTCTGTGTGTGGTCAGTGTAGTAAAAGTTTCCAGCATTTGTACTCTCATTTTCTGTGGACCTAGAAGTACTTGTCTTGCAGGAGGCGGCCTGTACTGCTGATAACCTACACAGTTACAGGTATTTGCTGCTTTTCACATCTACAACCAGGCAATTTTATTATCCCCAACCAAGACTCAAAAATGGAGGAAAAGCACACATTCAAGACTAAACACTCCTAGAAGATAAATGCAAAGGACAAGTAGTGGCTGGAACAGCTTAGGTATAAAAGCAAACACACTTAGCTGCAGAGAATTCAAGGAGGTTTTTTTATTCAGTTAGCAAAGAAAGGAAGACAACCTGTGTTCCAGGTGAATTTCAGAATTTTTCCAAAGGCCAGGGATCTTCAATTTCCTTGGCACCAGGGCTTCCTGACAGCATTGCTCTACTAAAGCTTGCAAATTGGTGCAATTTTGGTATGGCTCCAAGAAAGGTTTTAGTTCCAACGCTGCTACAGATGCATTAAATCATTATCTAATGTCCAGAAGTGGTCAGCAAGTCGTTCAGACTTATTCATTTACACAGCCTGATTACTATAATAGAGGAACATCTCTGGATGGTAAGTTGTAACCAGACCCATTTTTAATTAAAACTTTGTGCTATCATCCTTATTCCAGTTCTGCACAGATCCTAAAAAAGACTCTAAGCATTATCCTGGGAGTAGCCCATGTATGGACCAAACATCTGCCTGTCTTCAAGTGTCTGATTTTAGCCTCTATCTTTGCCAAAAATGTGAACTAAAGCCATCTTTAGCTAAGCCAGTAAGTTACCCTTTGGCCTGTATTTACTCCATCTCATTTACTCAGCCCACCTTAGGACTGGCAAGATCTTACCACAGGAGTTAAAGCCAAGATCTGGTAACTGACAATATGCCGCATACTTCATAATGTGGACTTGGATCATATGACAAGTCATTTGGTACAAGTCTGTATTTCTTTTTCTGAAGTAAACCAATAATACACTGAAATCTGTTGTATCTAAAACGGTTATGCAGATGTAATGTGTGTATTTTTATGTTTGTGAATGCCAGTATCAGTATTTATGACTTAAAGGACATTTAGAACACCTTGTAGTCAAGTTCATCTGCTCACTGCTCAAGTCACGTAATCAATTTATACTCATATTAAAAAGCTATAGAAATTACTCAAGCTCTGCTTTTCTTTTTTTCCCTTAAAAAAACCTTGCAATTCTTCATACCCTCTTGTGATTCTTCATGGTCTCACTTCTGGTCTAATTCAAGTATTTACATACACAAAAGTAAACTCGAATTTTCTGACTGTGCTCAGAGATAAGAACTCCTGTTCATTTCTTAAAATTTGCATTCTGAAATACCTAAAATAATGTATTTTTTGTAATTTTTCTTGACTGGAATGTGAAACAAAATAAATTAAATAGACTACAGAATCATGTTTATTTTAAAAATAATGTATTTATACACTCGTAATATTAAAATTTTCATTGTCTAATTCACTGAGCAAAGGCTAATAACTAGAGATGTGGTATATATGGCACATCCTCTAACTGTGTTCTTTGCCCAGGAAAACTCTCTGGACTTCTATCCAAGTTTAAGCTGAAATAGCCAACAGTCCCAAGTGACAACTGTACCTAACTCAATGTATCAGAAGATTTTGGTAGTAATTTAAGAGACAGAATTAGGACTAGCTCTCTCAATGCAAAATGGCAAGTTATTATGCAAAAACCACAAACCACAAAGCAGATGCTAGCAGGAATGGAAGTATGTTGAAATGCATTAAATAGGTAAGTTTTAACTAAAGCACAAATTTGAACTGCTAGAGTGACAAAGTATGCTCTGAACTGTGTGAGAGAAATGCTACATCATCCAGTATTTGCCTGTGTACCTGTAGACAGGCAAATAGGAGCTAGAGAGGGTAGCAGAAGTCACTACCAGTATGGATTAAAAGAAAATCCAGTCAAAACAGCATAAATAAGAAAAGGAAACAGTTATGAACCATCCTAACAATGAATTGAGAAATTACCAGAACAAAATAGTTCAGTAAACTATTGGAAGAGGAGGAAAACCCCACCCTGACATAAAGGAAAAGAGTCAGTGCAGATTTTCTACGGACTACAAAATGTCTCTGCCTGTGCAGCATACTTATGAGACCTGTCTCTGCCTCAGATCCATGCTGAGGGACTAGCACCATTGCAAGTTTTATAAGGTATCAAGGTTTGTTTTTTTTTACCTAACCCCCCAGGTTATTTAGTATTTTTTACATTTACAATTTTCCTTTATTGTGCAATGCAAACCTCATACTCTAAAATTTCCTAAGTAGATCACTATCATTTGTGATTTTTTTTTGTAAATAACTCATTTCTTGCTGAAAATTCTGAGCAAACAGCTTCTAAATATGTTCTTCTACATCATCTTTATTCTGACATATAACATCAGTTGCAAACGGGTTACTGACCTATCTGCTTTAATTTGAACCATACATGGCAAATGACTTAAGTATTTGTGTATTCATGTCACTTGTCTGTGAGATGTGTTAGTCATATTGCCTTTGACCTATTTTTCACAAACAGTGATTCCTCTTCTACTGAGCATCACGACTCTGTCAGCCCTGTGACTACAAGCTATGAATTGACAAAAATAGCACTGAGCCTTAGGGCTATTCATTTCCATATTGAGAAAAGAAAGAGTGATAACACACCACAGATTGCCCAGACGGGTAATAATACAGGTTCGTGAATGATTAAAATCCATGTGCTGTAAAACTCACTTTCGCTATTTCTCTGCTGATGCATTGAATTAAAATCAACAATAGGAGAAGTGAAGTGATATTGCTCTGACAAAAAGAATGACAATAATAGAATTACATGGTATGGCAGGTGATCTCACACAATACAGAAATAGGAACAGCATAAAATTACTTGAACAAAAAGAAAACAAACTGAAAATAAAAGAATGAGGATTCTTAAAACCTGTCTGAAAAGCAAGACTCCCTCTCAGAAAATCAGAATGCTATACCTCTTTTAAGCGGTATCGCCCCTTTTTACGTTACACAGCATTTACCTCGTGAAATGGTTCTTAGCATTAGCTCTGCATTGCTTCCCAAAGGACTGCAAATCTGATATTAAACTGCAAGTCACAAGTCTTTTTTATAATTGCAAATGAGAACACATCACGACATGATCAGTTACCTCCACTGCTGGCTCCATCAGCTTGAACACTGGTTTGGGCTGATGAAGGGGCTGGATCCTTGGATGCCGGCAGCTGAGGTGTTTCTTCCTGGGTTGGCAGAAATGCAGAGCACAGATCGGTTTCAAGGGCTTGTAGCTTCAATAAAGAATTCTGCAGACAAAAGCAGAACATTGGGCTAGATTGAGAACAACAGAACACAGCGATAGCTCTTCAACTCAGCCCATTAGCAGCTCCTGCAAAGGGGTGTTTCACTAACAGCTCTGCGAGGACGTGCAAGGGAACAAACGTGCACTATTCTGCGAGTTTCTTGACTTCTGGTTATTTAAATCCCAATTCACATGGATTATTCATGACACGTGGGAAAGATGACTTCGTCAGCAAAAGACGATTTATTCTAGGAAGCCAAGCTGAGGTGGTGTCCCTTTTCCTGGTCTCAAAGCAATACATTAAGCAAGTATTTTATTCATTGGACTGACATCACGATCTGATGACATTCTGTCCCTCCCCACTTACCATTCATAAAAAAACAAGTCTCCCTCTTCCAGCCACTGAGTGCCATACACAGCAGTGAACAAAGAGTTACTGAGAACACACTCCCTCATGGGATTCTTGGAAGAAATATTTTTTAATTGGCTTTTTTAGACATACTTCTTTATGTAGATGTAGCTTTCATGTAGGCAGCAGCTGCTGCTACAGGGCAATCAGATCATTTCCTATCCGTTGGAAAGGCAAAATTAACAGATCATTGTCACTTGCTGAAGATAAATCAATGAAGACAATGCTCATTATCTATAACATCACAATATAACATCAGCTACTGTGTCGTGCTTGGTCCATTTCTCATTTTAATCTTTAATGCTGCATGCAATATTCAGCTGTACAATCTGACACAAGCATCTTGCTGTGATGTAAATGCTGTGAAAGCCCTTATCACCATCTGACTGGGCAAAATGAGTCGCTACCAATACCTCATGCACTCAGTTCCCCTCTTCCAAGGGAAACACATCTTGTCACATAAATAAAATCACACAAGGCTGCATTAATAATCACACAGCTGGCACAAACAGAATATACGTGAAATGTTAAGTCACTGAAATGGTACATATTTTTAGAGCATTTTCTTGGGGGGGGGGAAGGGGGCAAGGAGGGGGGGAGAAAGGGGAAACAAAAAAACAAACCCCACCAAATGACAACCAACAAACAAATAAAGAAGACAAAAAAAAAAAACCACAAAAAAATCAACCCACCACAAAAAACACCACCCAAAAAAAAACATGAGTTGCCATAGAAAAAAAAGATCCTCAAAAGCCTCTTTCCCCACTATGTCAAAGACATGAAATCAATTTACTGATTCATTTCATGAAATAACAGATTTATTGGAAACATTTCCTTTGTGTAAGTTTCTCACCTATGTAGTGAGTAGTTTAATGTCTTTGCATTATTTTAATTGTAACACAGCTCTTTTATAAACCTAGAGATGCCAGTGGTTTTAGGTTAAAAAATAAAGAAGGAACCTGATTTGGCTGAAAACAGCGGGGAAGACTTTCAGCCTTGATCCTTTCATTCCTTTTCTAGAATTCAGGTGGTGAAACAGGAGCAGAAAGTAGTGCTTTCTAGGAGATACCTCAAAATAGGGAAGTTTCAAAAAAGCACAAGATCACCATAACTAGATCCAGTGACCCTCTATGTCAGGAGTGCTTCAAAATTTGTATCCTGTTCCACAAAACAGATCAGGTTGCAAACACCTGGACCTTGGCCTCAGCTTAGGCCAAAAGGAAAATCCAGAAAAACTTCCTTCTTCTGGTCCCAGAGCAAACAGTTCTGACCATTCCTATCAGAAGCAGCTTAATTAGAGACATGTGAGCAAAGAAATGGCTTGTGTTATACATTTTAGGACTAAGTTCCTCTCATCTGTTGTCAAGATATAATTTGACATATCCTCCTATAATACCAGAAAGAAGTGATTGCAAGATCAAGCACTACTGTTCTTTAAAAATACGGCATGATCTAGAGCTGGTTTCTATAATATAAGGCAGAAGGTACCCTTACTATTGACAGGCATAAGTTGCATTAACAACCTAGCATCCTCTGTTCCTGTTGCCATTTGTAAGGATAATTTATCCATCTTGGCCAGCAGTGCCTTAAGTTCCTCGTCACTTACTGACACTGTTTGGTCCAATATTTTACATATATTATTTCAAATTGATCTGTCTCCTTTGACCTGTCTACTAGAAAGAGTGTGCCGGGTATGCAAATGTCCCGAACATGGTCTTTGTAAGTGAAGACCAATATGATGAATTCACTCAGCTTCTCTGTTTACAGCCATATCACCTAGTGATATGAAATTAGTACCCATTTTATGTGTCATCCAGCAGTCACAGTGACCCCTACCTAGATTCCTGCTTTTGATGCATTTAGTAGAATTCTTATGATCAATTTGAGCATCTTTTATGATCTACTTTCAAAGTCTTCTTTAATCCTCTACAGGGCTTTCTTCAATTAGAGACAGAACGATGGAAACCACCTCACCTTCAACAGCTTTCAAGTAGCAGTGAATTTTCCTTGTCAAGGGGAGGATGCTAACTTGAATCATACCCATGACACTGTTCTGGGGAGGGATTCCATAATATGACAGGCCTCATGTTCCACTTCCTGTCATCCCAGCTAGGCCCCAATGAAGTGGCTGTGTAATTATCACTGCAGATGGGCTGTGTTTTATAGTCAGTAATATTATCTAGCGAAAGATGATTATACCAGTTACACACCAGTGAAGACTGATCCCAGACCAGACCTTTTCCAGAAGAACTGCTGATGGCAATAAGGAGAACATAGGCAAACATACCAGAACATACCAATAAGGAGAGCATAGGGTAATAACTGACAAAAATACCTAACCATCACAGGCTGTTACTTCAAGCATTTGAAAACCAAAAAATATTCCATACCAAGAAAATATGTCCCTTTGCATCACTATTTCTTATGATACATTAATATTTATGGAAAATTCAGCATAAAAGCATTCACACAGACTACATTGTTAAACATTGTATTTTGGCAATGCTTAGGCTGTAATTCACCAGCTGGTTTATATTCAGTTGCTCAAAGTGATATTTTTCATCCATCTTTGGAAGGTGGATAGACGGCAAATTTACAGTCACTGCCAAATACTAAAAAAAAATAATCATATTATAATAATAATAATAACAACAACAACAATAGGAAAACCTTACAGAATTTCGTGATTGTGTCCTTGACAGGGGTTTGATGTAGGGAGAAAAGGGGTAAGTAGCTGTGATCACTTTGATGTTACCAGGGAGACGATGAATCTGGAGTACGCCATCAACCTCATCTTACTCCTAAAACACAGCTGAGTACTATGGTACTGCCACAGCACACTATAAATGAAAAACCATCATACATTTATGGGAACACATGTAAGGAGACATAGCTTTAGCAAAGGCCAAACACAATGCTGCTCACTTCACTAACTCATTAGCAACAGCAGCATCCTAGAAAATGCTAGGGATGACGCTGCTGCCTGTCCTGCCGCATGGCCTGTCCTGCCCCCTTCAGGGCTGCTTGCAGTACTAACAATGCCAGACCAGCTGGACTGGATCCTGCCAGCCTCAAACCTCTTTCTCTCTGGCAGCAGTGTAGCTGCAGCCCAACCACAGAAAGAAGGTGCTCTGCGAGAGGACATGGCCATATATCAGCAACTTGCAGCAGGTTCTCTATCCTTGGGCTCACAGGGGGCTGGCTAACATGCTACCAACTGTTGGCAAATAGAAGGCAAGAAGAGAGATGTCTTCATCTTCTAAACCCTTTCAGGTTAATTTTAAATATTGCTCACCACTTCCAACTTCCCCCTAGTTCTCCAATGCTTTCCAGTACCTGTACAGCTCTGATGTGACTGTAGGCATCCTGCCACAATAGTGGGGATGTGTACTCTTCTGTCCTGCCCACACTCAGCAATACATCTGATCTGAAGATGAACCAGCCTGTGCACATGTTACTTAAAATTCTGCCACGGTCCAGACTTGTCCCTGGGCCCAACTGGGCCATCTTTGCACTTGGCTGTTTAAAAGAAGTTGCAAAACACGTCAGAAGCAAACACAAACAGCTAAAATACATAGAGAGGGAAATGTTAGGTCATGCTGAGTGCCATCACAAATTTTAGTAAGCTCTTCTATGGAAAACCAATATCACTGAAGTAATTTAAGATATGGCATATTATATCAGCTAATTATCTAAGTTCAAATATTTGAGAACTGATATTCAGTCCAGTTTTACTCTAGTAAACAGTAGTGTTTCTGATGCAGTAATTCCTGATCCGTGCTAATGCAAATGAAAGGACATTATTATATTTTAGATGGGTCCTTAAATTTCTTTGGAAAAATAACAAAATTGTTGCCTCTTAAGAACAGCATTTTGCAAGTTTGAAAAGGAAGCAATTATAATTGTCTTGGAGAAAAGTTTCTTGTATTTTCTTCTGTCCTCTTAAAGTAACTGACAATTCAGAGAACTTGAGCTATGCCAATTCCACTAGAAGAGAAAACATCTTGCATTATTCCAGTTCAAAGATAATGGAAAAATAGACATTTACAGGAAGTCTGAGGAAAACAAAGAGAGAAGTCTATTTATTAATTTCGCTAATGCTTTAAGAAAACATATGCATAAAGGAATCATATTCTCACCTGCTGGAGAACACACAGTACAAAAGGATTACCATTTGAAGAGGAAGCTTAGCCTTGCAGTTAATAAACTGACTTTACAAACAGGTAAGGCACTGACTGTCATTCCTTCCATCTACAAGAGTTGAGGCCTTAGGACAAGGAATTATTGTGATGATAGATAACCTCTTACATCTAAGTATCACACACCTACACTCACACTGTTAAATGCCTCTGGAGAATGGAACAATGAATGATCAAATTCTTCCAAGTTATCACCAAAATGCTTTGGCAATGAGTGAGAGTCCCCTGAAAGGGCATCAACCTTTTCTTGATAAGTGCCATCAGTAACTGCCTCTCCAGCTGGATGGGGCCCACAGGATCAGTGCCATGTGACTTGTCAGCATATCCAAGGGACCACGGACTGGTGGGAAAGAGCATCCCAAATGAAGCCTCATCAGCATCCTTTGTTTCAGCTTTGCAGACATCCTAAAGACTGGTAAATTTAATAACTGAGGGAAGAGGGAAAGAAAATATATCTGCCAACCCATAGATGCTGCTCTGTCTCAGTCTGAAGGCTGATAGGCAGAAGGGAGGAGGAGCAAAGCCCAAACTTAGTGCTTTCTGCCTAAAATGAAAACACCCTGCCCCACACACACTGTTACTGAATATTAAGCATGCTTGCACCCTATCCCTGGGCCTGCTCCTGCCTCTCCAGGACAGCAAGACAGCTATTCTATCTAGTTTATTGATGGATTTACTGGATTTATGAAATCAGTTGGGGCAGAGAAGGAGAATAACCCAACCCTTCAGCATTTAATAGCCTTTGAAATGATTCATATAGAAAAGAAACTGAGCAAATATCAACCTGTTCAATTCCTTCACTCTAAGGAAATAAATGCTTTTATATGTCACATTAGAACAGTGATGTATAACAGCATCTTCTTGCTTTTTAATCTGAGAGTTCAGGTTAAGATAAAATAGGCATATTTTTTGTGAACATAAATAAATCTCTGTGGTATCTGTTATGGCAATATTTGTGTCTTGAGGCATATGACATTTTCAATTCAGAGCTTCCTTTATGGGGAACAAGCAAGCAACAGTAAGATAGAACAAGATATGCCCTGGGTCTGTACAATGCCATGGATGAGCAGTGAAGAGAGACACTGCTTTCTCTAAATCAAGAAGAGAATTTATTTTCTTACAACCCATGTTCATTTGGGTTTTCAGTAGACCTGAGACACCAAAAAATCTAAAATTTTGCAGAAGAAACCATCAGAAGGTAACCCTTCCTCATTCCTCATAAATTACTGGGAGTTTGCTTTAATGTCTAATTATCTGTTTCAATATCTTACACTGATTTCATTTATTACATTTAATCTTAACCTTTAAGGAATCCTTTGCAAGGATTTTAAGTGGAAGCTGTCAGATGGAAGCTTTGGTGATTATTTGCACTGGGGCTTCTCAAAAGAAACAATAACTTGATTTCTTCCAGAGCCTTAACTGGCTAGGCAGAGGCTGAACATAATCCCTTGTATTGGTCATGGGATGTGCCTCACTAGTTAGCATCACAATTTTCAACAGTGAACTGCACAACAATGTCACAAATGCACAGGAGATAATTCGTTGTAAGGAGAAGATTAAGTCTGAATTCCTTTAAAAGGACACATTGTGGTTTTCTCCTAATGAAAGGCAGGCATCTATTAATAGACATACATGTTCTCTGGCTGATTATGGAAACAAAGCTGTCTTTTCCATGGTTTGAAAGGAATGGGATTCCCTTCCCTCCCAACTCTTTTTTTCCACTGCTTCCAATGTTCTGTTGTCTTGGTCTACACTTAGAAATATTACCTGCTCTGTGTTTAAGTCCAGTATTGTTCATTGCCTTGCCATGTGTAAGCATACTCTATGCTAGCATGCAGATACCCTTGTTTATGGAAGATGCTTTATAAGGTTTCTCACTTTGAATAATTGCAAAACTTGGATTTGACTTCCAGCATTTTGCTGATTTCGAGAATCTAGCTCGGGCTCATCTATTTTTTGACATGATCACACAAACAACTTCTTTGTGCTCTACTCTCTCACCATCCTCCTAGTATAATCCATTTGAGAACAGCTCGTTTCAAATGTCACAGGTGCTAGTGGACTTTCCTTACTTTCTCCCTTCACTCCAACTCTCTTTTCTTCCCACCTTACAACCAAAGTACCTTTTAGACCACATTGTACTGTTCATAGATTATTTATGTAGGATGTAGAAATCTTGAGAACTCATTTTTAAACAAAACATAATTGGTAGCTGAACACTTTTAAGCTCTAATATGAGGAAAAAAATAAAATGTTCTAGAAAGGTGGCATTTCACTCAGCCAATATTGAATGTTTAATTCTTTTCTGAGCACAAAAAGAAAGCTGGCTTAAAATATTTTTTTAAATCTCTCGCCTCTGGCGTTTAAACTATTATAGCAGTCCTGTATCACGTTTTTAAGCTTTTCTCCAAAAACATGACTAGGATGATTTAGTGAAAAGCTAACCTTAAATTCTCAAGAAATTACATTATTCCAAAACCTTAAAATTAACAAAAAAAAAAAAAAAACAAAAAACAAAACAAAAAACAAACAAACAAACAAAAACAAAAAACAAACAAACATCTAAGTCCAAAGCTGTAACATCATATTTCAACTTTTGGTTAAGCTTACCTCATTTAAGCTGTTAAATTGCTCAGTTGCTTCTTTTGGTGAAATGCATGTGTTCTGATCTATTCTACGAAATAAAACAAGAATGTTCACTCAATAGATTGCTTATCTGTGATGCAAATATTTAAAACCTTCCATCATGTCTGCACATAAATTACAAGTTATGGGATAAAGTTTTTTTATTTAAAAAATAACATTTTTATCAAAGTTACATCTGTATTTTATGCCTTATTCAAAACAACAGTGATTTTACTGGAATCTTAAATAATGTATTTAAACTGTGAATAAGGTCCTGGAAACTATGACATTAGAATCTGGCTTGCTCTGCCACAGAGAAAAAGTTCTACAGAAGTATGATCGGCTCCCAATATCTTTGTGAGCTAATGGAATTAAAGCCAAGAGAAAGCTCTAGCATATGTTTAGATAGAAGCACAGTTTGTCCCCCATGCTTTAAGTCAGGAACAAGAGTTTTCCTGTATCAGAGCCATGGAGAATACTTCTTTCCATATTTAAATTTGATAGTATTTCAGGCTCCCAATCTTCAACTTTCTGCTTAAGTTCTGTTTTGCAAATTCCACAAAGACCCAAAGGACTCTTATGTGGAGCTGGAAATCCTTTGACTAAGAAAGTTTTTCTAGTGTCACTTTGCAGCCATTGGATATGTCCCTACCTTTGTTTTTCCCTCAGTGTATCACATGGAAAAAGGAAAGGAAGGTCCTGAACCGGCAAGGGGAAAATCTTTTCCCTCAGACTACAGCTAGAGTCAACTGTGCCCCATCCAGGCAGATGTGGTCATGACCTAAGACTCCACACACCTACCAGCCTACCAGCTTCAGGATTAGTTAGTCACAAATTAACTTTACCAGTGAATGAAATTGAAGCCTAAAAAAAACCTTCCCATGGATTAGGTGAGAAACCTGTATAGGCTCATACCACAGCACTGTCCTTCCCCAAAGCAAACAGATTTCCCCAGTCAGCTTCAAAGCCTGACATGGGTATATCACAAGAAAGCAAGAAAGCTGAAGAAAGAAAACTATTGCTGCCTCAGAGAATGAGATTTCACATTGCTGAAAAGGTACCATCAATGTTTGCTGGCCCCTGTGAGGCTCACATGATCAAAAGTAACACAAAATCCAGATTCCTTTGGCCAAATTTATTAATATTTTTCAGCCTATTGTGCTCAGAGTCTTCTAAGCAAAACCAAATGGTTTTAAAAGTCTAGAAACCTCAAAAACAGTGCAGACAGATGCGCAGGCCTTTGTTATTTATGAGACATTAAAGACTGAAATGATGGATATGCCACTTTCTTTACCAGAATAGACATATTAGATATCTACACGAGAGTAAACACTTGACTCCAAACAGGATACAAGGTGTGCAATTCACACTGAAACAAAAAATGAGTCATTTAGGTGGTATACATCTAGCACCAGAATGGGAAGTTCCACAGACCAGCCAGCTTTAACCCCCTTCAAGATGCACATGATCAGAAGCGAGTGATTTCTGGAGACACTTTATCAGCAAGGTGCCTTGACTGACTGTTGTGCAAGCACTTATCTAGATCTCTGTGTAGCTCTCTACATACATATGCTTTCTGCCATTTCACCTGAAAATGAATAGCAAATGTCACCATAATGTGAAGAGAACAGAAAGAAAATGGAACTACAGAATCAAAAATGTTAATGCCAAACAACTAGCTTCTAGCTTTTAGGGATGAGAGAGAACTGTAGGAGACTGCAGAAGAGGGTTAAAAAAAAAACTAAGAAAAAGCATAGGGAGAAAAAAAGGAGTAATTTAATAGAAAAAAAATGAAATATTCATAGTTTGGTTTAATAACATGTAAAAAAGGACCAGCAAGGCTACAAACAGCTGGAGAATTAATTCAGTAGTGAAAAAAAAACCAAAAACTTAGAGTGATTTATTTCACTGAACTAGAGCTAGACATAAAAAAAAAAAAGAAGAAAAGGACACATGCCAGATTTGTACACTTCTCATTTGGATGACTCCTTTCAAGGTCATAATACACAGTAAATGTGAACTCTCCTTAGGAAAAGAAAACAAAAAACTAAGTGCTAGCAGCAGTTCTTACATGTGCAATACAATGTTCTACATAATTCAGAGCTGTATCACTCACACAGTCTTGAGATTAAAAAGTTCAGAACATCCCTGAAGTACCACCTCTCTCCCATTCAGGCTGATGATCTTGTCTGATTTTTTAGAATAAGTCTTTTAGCAGAAGTCTTGCATTTTGCTGCTTCCTTTAAACTGAAAATGCTGGAGTAAGATGCTTTTTGTTTGCATTTTTTTGGATCCTGGATATATTTAAATCATTAAGGTGAATAACCATTTCTGGGAGAAGACCATTTACATAACAGTATGCTGAACTGATCTTACTCGATATAGAAAATTTTGGGGTCTGTTTTTTGTTTTCACCAAGATAACCTGCATTTGCCTAGCAGAGCAGTTAATCTGATTGTCACCAGGCAACAAGGGGCTTGCAATTTAATAACTATGGGTTGGATCCTACTCACATTAAAAGTCAATCACAAAATATCCATTAACTTCAAAAGCAGCAGGAGCAAGCCCTAATTTTCCATCTGTGCTGAGTACATTAAACGTATTTTAAGACTTAGCTGAAATTTTGAATAATTGTAGGCAACCCTTATTTTGTATAATTTTCATAATGTAAAATAATGAAAATGGAATGCTTTCCATGGCTACCACTCAAATATATGTTATACCATATGCTTTCTAAAATATGAAAGGCCTGATCTCCCACTCTCCCTATAGACTCTGGTTTTGGCAGAATTACCCTCTTCTATATGGCACAGATGAGAAAGATGCAGCTCAGTAACGTGTACATTTGAAGCTTGTGGACATCACAAAATAAAATCCAAATACTAATTATCATAACAGAGCTCCAACCAAACTGCAAAGGGAAGATCAATTTGCATGAGCAGTACGCTGTTTAAAAAACCAACCAGAACATGTAAATTATTGAATTATGCATATCACTTCTAAACTTGCATAAAATTCAAATAAAACCACATAATTTAAAAAACTAAAAAGGATGTTTAAACATAACCTAAGAAAATTCACTTCTTATTTCCCAGACTAAACCCATAAAGGAGCATTACATTCTGTAATTTGCAAGCCCTAATCCAGTCCAACCCTGGGTTACACTAACTCTATCCTCAGGAGGCTTATGTGTCTATGAACCACAATGCCACACTTGCTCCATATCTTGGCCCAATTAATGCATTACTGGTGCCAAGATAAATTCTGGCAAACAAACTGCACACTATGCTGTGGGATGAACCCCTTTTTCCAGATTCAAACTATCCTGACCCAGTATTCCTTCCCTGTCTCTAGTCTAGTAATCCCAGCATAGGAGTGACCCACCAGCTCAGAAAGGGTAGCCTCAGTACCACATCAGAGGACTGATCCAGCCTATCCAGGGGTTACATTACACAACTTCACTGAAGAACAGAACCTGCAACCAACACACCTCAGTGCCAGGAAAACACAAAGGTCTTTTCTGAGACCTCCACAACTGGCAAAAAGTGTTATGAAGTTCATAGTCACCACCCTAATACAGGCCTGCAGATGAATACTTCAAAAACAGACCTATGAGTCCTTACAAAGCAATACAGAACTGCAACAGGCCTCCGGATGAAGTGCACATTTGCAGTGAAAGAAACAACACCATTAAGGGCCCAAGGCTGTTTGGATACATCCTAGGCTACTCCTTGGTCAGTCCCTGATTGCTGGAATAAGCAACCAGCCAGAGAGCTAGCATACCAGTGCGTGTTTCATCAATCACAGCACTTACATAAAGGCTGGCCGTGGGCAGCTGGACAGCCACACTTGTTTTTCATCTTATGAGCACCTCTCCCAGTCACCAGGCACAATCCTTACTTGGGCTACAGTAAGATGGCTTTTTTTTTTTGGTCTCTCTGCCTTTTTCCCTTTTTTTCTTTCTTTTTTTTTTTGGGGGGGGGGGTTGTTTTGTTTTTTTTTTCCTTAAGTGTATTGCAACCCAAGAGCTTGCTCAGGGATTTTCCATGTCTTGATACAGGAATTATCACAGAAACAATGTTTTAATATGAAGATTCCTGAAGAAACTGTTCTTAGGAACTGTTCAGTCATTTCCCAGCAAATCAGTGTTTCATCAGCAAATCCTGGTTTGCTGACAGAGAGCTATTCACAAACACATACTGGTTTTGATGAATTTTTGCCAGGTCTGAGGCAAGACTCAGAGGGAATCCAGCCAAGTTCTCCCCCTGCTCACCTGGCTGCCTGTGTGGGAACACAGCCTCGCAAGCTCTGCCTCACTGTGCAGGTCTGCCATATGGCATGAGGACATCAGCAGTTCTGCAGCTTCCCTACTTCTTCCCACACATCCCTCAGTTGTAGGTACTCAGCAGAAAGCATGGAAAATACAAGAGTCCCCACCTGAACTGCACTCTCAAAAGCTACTTGCCTTGAAAGCTTCAATACTAAAAGCCTCACTAGAGCTTAGTTTCCCACAGGGGAGCACAGAAACTGTCTGAGTCCAAGATCCAGGGCAGCCTGTTCCTGGCATTCCCAGTTTTCCTGAAGAACAGTCATAGGTCTAACAGAAACTGCCACCCTATAGCCTCTGTAGAAATTAGGCACCAATCAAGGGACCAGCTGATTCCTACTAAATTAAACCACTCCACTCCCACTTTATTTGGGGAATGGGGAAGAGGGGGAACTTTCAAAGACTTTTTCTTTGGCATAAAATTTAACCCCAAAGTGTAATTCCGACACTGACTTGGAATGCAACCTTCTGTGAAACACTGATATCCCCATTGCCCAGGAGTCCCATGTTTCAGCTCCCTCTCTGTGTACAGGCATCAAGAAAACACCATCCTCTATTCGGGTAACTGCATACACAGCTCTGCAACCCACATCAGCTTTGCTGATTGCCTTTGAGAAGGCAATCGGTAAAAGCAGCTTTTTGTAATCATCTGTACTGTTCCACGCTGGCTTTCCTATTCTCTGTTTAAAAAAAGGAAATTCTTTTTATTTGTTCCTGGGGCCTGCATATAACTTTTACCTCCCAAAGGTGCAGATTATATTACAGTCATACCCAAACCCAACTACACACAATGTCTAGAGCAATATTCAATGTAATCACTTGAAATAGTATTAGAAATTCATGTTCTTGTAATAAAATGTAAATGTTTCCTTCCTGCAGATGGTATTTCATATTCTAAATTGATGCTGATTTTCATAAATCATGCATGATACATACTTCTTAAAATGAAAATTCTTGATTTACAGGTCATGTATAGTTTAGCCAAGAAAAAGACAGTATTCCCTCATTCTTCTGACTGTAGTCTTTTCATAAAGTATTTTTCCATTTCCCTCAAATCCTACTAAAACTTTTCTTTCACTGTTTCAGTGGTTATCATATAATGAAAGTAAATACACACACTCCCCCCCCAAAAAAACACAATCAACATATATACTTCTAAGTTGTATTTTTGTAGATTGTTTCTCTTATATTGCCTGTTTTTTTCTGTCACATACCTGTTTATGAATATCCCTTGTTAGGTTACCCTGAATTTAGACTGCTCTGCTTAACAGGGACTATACTGAAAAGTTTTCATATCTCAGCAGTTTTTGATCCATATTTAGACAAATTAAAACTATGCTGGTTTTAGCTGCTCCATACTCACTAGAACAGATCTTTTAAAAACTCTGTACAGTTCAGAGGTATTTACCTGAAACTCCAGTAAGACTAATGACAGAGCTACAGAAGTCTGCAGAAAATGAATTAGAGCAGAAGTAACAAGCCACACTAGAAACAATTGACATTGCTTCTTAGTATGGGACAAATAAATCCTTCTTGTCCTACCCTCCACACAGACATCTAGGACTGTATCAAGTGGCACACTTATAGCAGTGTGGCCATCTCCTGTTCTCCAAAAGACCATTCAGCTTTTGGTCTATGACTTAGGGATCCTATGCAGATGTAGTGTTCCAAAGCACTGCTAATTTTAGCAGTAACCTTGCAAAAAAAAAAGGTGGAAGATGGTAAAACTCGATTTTTGTGAGGCTAGCAGATGTGTTCTGTCAAAATCTAGCTATGGTTGTTGTCTGCTGCCAAGGTTGAATACTTAACCTTTGCCATGTCCTAGAGCAGAAAAGGCAGAAAACAAGGCAAGATGTCACACTCTGGCAGCTATATTTCACAGCCTGTTCATGAGCCAGTTCTATTCTTCTGATGTAGCAGCCAGAGACGTACATGAGCTGAGATATGGGCATGTAATTGCTCAGGCCCTATCAAAGCTGATTGACAGCAGATGTTTGGGGCAAGCTGCTGGCGACCCTTCAAAAGAGCCAGCAGACACAGTAACCCTCAAACTGAAAGTACTAACTTCAACATATGTGACTCAAAGTTCTCTGCCCCACCTGGGTGGTGGGAATGTTTTTTCCAAGGACACTTAAGGCAGTTAAAGTAAACAAAGAGTGCGTGTAAGGCAAAGCACTATCCATTAATGCTTTTCTACTCCAAGTTCCTTATTTAAGAGTAAAACCTCCTCTGTTTTGTTGTAATATAAACAAATAAAGACATGGGCAGAGTTGAGGTTTGATCATTATGCCTTCATAGCTCTTAGCGTGGTTAACTTCAGGTACCATTATTTAACAGGTTTAGCACTTGTGGACAGCAGGCTTCCTAAGGAGCTACCCTGATGTTAAATGGGAATGAATGGCATAATGAACAATGGTTTAATACCAAGCAATCTAAAAAGGCCAAACTGTTGAAATGGAGTGGGAAACTTTGCTGTGGCTTGTTTTATTCGGGCATACTCTACTCCTTATCTTTAAAGTCCATATTTATTTAATCATGTTCCTTTCATCAATCAAAATTAACCAATGTTATTTCATTACCTACCCATACACAGACCTCCAACCAGCAAAGCCCTTAGATAGGTCTAACTCTCTGATATCAAACTCACTTTGCCCCTTTGTACAAGAAATCCATGTGATATTTTCCTACCATTAAAAATGCCAGAAAAAGAGAAGCCAGGTTTCCTTGGCTGGGTCTAATTAGAAACACTCAGAGATGCAGTGTTTCAACTGCACATACAAGCACTGTAGGGTGGAAAGGTTCTTTGTGAAAGCTAATTAAATGTTTGGTCATTGTGCTAAAACTTCCTTTGGGAGCATAAATTAATATCATTTACCACATCGCCTACTAAAAGCTGTAGTGAAGGCAACCAGTTCATTTCATATGAAGCACTAAACTGCCATTGGATGGCAACTGTCACTGCTAACCTAGAGCTTGAAACAGGCCTTGGAGGCAACAAATTCTGCATGTCAGCTAGTTGTGCCTGTAGGCACTGAGCATCCCTGGGATATACAGCTGCTGCTCCAGGGCCCCCAAAGCGAGCCAGAGTCCCTGCCACACAGCAGCAAATCTGTCACGCACCTCAAAACAGAGAGCAAAGAGCACAGACCTGGCTCACCTGCCTGAAACTTTATGTGCACATCAAAGCAAAGTCAAAACAGCACCTGAGCATGGGAAATGGGTAAAATAGTGCCCTGAAAACTGATGGCTGTGAACAGCATGATCTCATGCTCTGTGAAGAGCATGATCACAGGCACACCTACAGGTTGGGCAGAGAAGAGATTCAGAGCAGGTCGACAGAGAAGGACTTGGGGGTGCTGGTCAATGAGAAAATGAACATGAGCCAGCTTCAGTGTGCACTCGCAGCCCAGAAAGCCAACCGTATCCTGGGCTGCATCAAAAGGAGTGTGACCAGCAGGTCGAAGGAGGTGATCCTGCCCCTCTACTCTGCTCTTGTGAGACCTCACCTGGAGTATTGTGTGCAGTTCTGGTGTCCTCAACATACAAAGGACATGGAACTGTTGGAACAAGTCCAGAGGAGGGCCACGAGGATGATCAGGGGACTGGAGCAGCTCCCGTACGAAGACAGGCTGAGGAAGTTGGGGCTGTTCAGCCTGGAGAAGAGAAGGCTGTGTGGAAACCTCATAGCAGCCTTCCAGTATCTGAAGGGGGCCTATAAGGATGCTGGGGAGGGACTCTTCATTAGGGACTGTAGTGATAGGACAAGGGGTAACAGGTTGAAACTTAAATGGGGAAAGTTTATATTTGATATAAGGAGGAAATTCTTTCCTGTAACGGTGGTGAGCCACTGGAATGGGTTGCCCAGGGAGGTTGTGAATGCTCCATCCCTGGCAGCGTTCAAGGCCAGGTTGGACAGAGCCCTGGGTGAGATAGTTTAGTGTGAGGTGCCCCTGCCCATGGCAGGGGGGTTGGACTAGATGATCTTAAGGTCCTTTCCAATCCTAACTATTTTATGATTCTATGATTCTATGATTTGCACAGTCCAAGCCTGAAATAAGAGCTAAATTTTATCTTTAAGACACACCTTGACTGATAGATTGGGTCAGTTGGTTGTGTTGAAACACCATTTTTAGCCTTTTGCACAGCCATGAAGGATTAGAGAACTATGACTTCCAGCAGTCACTACAGCTGAGTTACCTGCCATCAAGACTCAACTAATGCCTAACCTGCACCCTTCAACTGGGACAAGTACAGTTGCCATAGCACCTGGAGTCTAAACTACACATAAATACATACCCTTGCTAAAATCAGGTGTGCTGATTCCCATTTTTCAGTGAGAATACAGCTCTGAAAAGCAAATCAGCATTTTGGGGAAAGGGAAAGAAGTGCCAAGATATTTTTGAAACTTGGCACAGAGGAATTGAAGTTTCTGAACTGAGGATGTTCTTCCAGCTTAAAATGTAAGGGGTTTAAAGAATGATGAAATTTGCATTCTTATCTTCATCCCTTTCACTTTCTCCAACCAGTTCTAGTCATATAAATACAGATTACACCTGTCAATGAGAGCCAGGAGTCTGAATATTTTATACAAAAGGCAGCAAATTAATTAGCCTTTCCTACAGTTAATCAGAAGCGAAATGTGCTGTCTTATGCCAAGGCTTACCTTGGTTGAAATCTCACGACTGCTTCCTGGCATCTTAAAGCTACATTCTGTGCATAGTCATTAGCTGAGGATCCAGCCTTCCCCTGCCACTCTGGGAGGCCTGGCAATGCACTTTCCAGCTCCTGCACAAAGAAAAGAAATGTTGAATGCCCTGTCAGCACTAATCAGGCTTAGCTGAATATTTTGTTTTAAGAAAAAAAGAGCTCCATGAGACCAGGTGCTGATTGTGTTTCTCTCTTATTTTTTTGGTAATTATCTAGAAACAACTGGAAAATACAGACTAGAAAAGGTTCTAAACAGAGTAGTATCTTCTTTCACTGTAAAACATTTTATGAAACCAAAGCAGACTGTAACCCATTTTCTGTTTATTAGTTAGATAAGAGATGTCAGCTTCTGAGCTAAGAGGTACTAGACACAGAATTTAACATTGTTTTGCTTATATATACACTCACATTTAATTTGAAATTATTTACTCATATGTCAGTAATATTTTATTACTTGGCCACTATCAGAAAAATTTTGGCTGACAAAAGCAAATGAAATTCTCTTAAGTAAGATTTGCAAGATTTAACCAGTTTCCTTTTTAATTTTGCTCTTTCCCTTCCCTAGCATATGCATAGCTTTATGAATAGAGCATTACTGCAGAAGGAGTGAAAGGCAGGGAGGAAAAAAGAAATCACTTTAACCAACCTGCCACAGAAAATAAAAAAGCCAATTTATTCCAACAAATTGAGGGAGTAGGAAGTAGAAAACTATGCATTTTACTTGAAGCTTTTGAAAACCAGTTGCATGGCTGTGACAAGACATGTTCAGCTCACCTTAATTTCTTTACCTATAAAGTGGGTTATAATATTTCCCTTGCATTCAAAGAGGTAAGTTAATGAAGTTCTTTGAAAATGCTATAATAAAAGTGTGACTTCTTCCTACGTCTTTATTAGCTTTTATCATCCAGTATTTTATTCTAATAGTTTATAAAATTAACATACAACATGCTTTGCAAAACAAAAATGGAGGTCAGAAGTTTGGATAGGACTGTTCGAATGGGAACATGGAGGGCTAAGGTCATTCTACATTTAGATATGCTTAGTTTTAGACGTTGACAGCAAAAGCTGTTAATACAGTTTATAAGAAAATTTTGGGTGCTATGTAATGAGTGAAACAAGCGCATTTCAAATTAAGCAACTGTTTCTTATGGCTGAAGATTTAGTGTTGTACTATTTAAGCAAAGTCAGTCCAGCTAAGGTGCAAAACCAAACCTGCATTACAGTAGTAAACTTTCTTCAGCAGAAGCATCTTCTGCAACATATAACCCTCTCCAATATCAGAAGAGAGGACATGGCAATACAAGATGCTTTCCGCTAGATGGAAAGCTGAGGACAAGAATATATGCTGGTCATAAGTGCTCACTTGCAGGCTTGATGTTTGAGGACATAGGTGGGTTTTGCTTTGGTGTTTGTTTTTTTTTTCATTTTCTTTACTTCTTTCCCTTTGTTGTTGCTCATCAGCAATGTGATTAAGGTAATCTCTAAGGGAACACCCTTGAAGTCTCTGTTTCTTGAGAGCAATGAAATCCATTCCTCATGTGTCAAAGGCATTCAACAGTATAGTGCTGTCTTGTATTTTACTTTCTTCTTAACTATGGAGTGAAGCTTGTACAACGAGGTTGCATCTGGTAAGAAGTCTGTGAAGAAGGAAATCTCCAACAAGTCTTAGTGCTGCATAATCACTGATACTTGCCATGATACCTGCTTTATATACTAAATAATATGTGGGTTAAAAAGCAGACAAAAATTAAAGCTTCTGCTTCACAAGCTATCTTTTTTTAATCTATTTCCCTCAAAAAAGCCACAGCATGTCATAACCCATCTCTGTCAGAGCATCTGAATTATAGTACAGGCATACAAACTTTTGTTGTGTTTATGGAGTAGCTTCATCTGCTCTTGGACTCCAGAAAGTGCCTTGAATCCTTTATATGCTTTATGCAAAACACAAACACTTCCATCTCTCTTCAAATGCAAGGACCATGCAAACATTGTACTGGCATTTTGGACCCCAGCCCTGGCATACCTCATGGCGCTGTGTCAGTTAGAAAATAGCCAGAACTGAAGTCCTCAGCAGAAGTGCCTCCTACCCCTCCTGAAAATGCCAGTTCATACAAGAAAATAACTAGGTACAGTGAATGGACAGTGAATTGAGCAGATTTAATCCATGATGGAGGTCCTGTTTAGACATAAACAGAGTGTAACTAAAAACTGAAGTGGAACTTGCAGACTGCCTGACATTTACGTGTTTATGTAGCTAATGCGTTACCATCAGCTCTGTGGTTTTTAATTTGAAATCCGTGCAATTTGCCCACATAATTTATACTCAAAATACAATATTTCACACAGCAGTTTTCAACATTCCTGTCCTGGCACTGATTGTCAAGCCACTATTTAATTTTATAGTCATTTACCTTAATAATAAAACTGAATTTTTGCAGTCTCTACCTGCTAGCTAGCATGTTTAGTGTCATTTTATAAGTATGTCTCAGTATCAATAAGGAATTTGAGGATGACTCATTTAATAATCTATATTTATGACTGCATCAAAGGTGAGTGAGGATTAGGTAAGGAAAGCAGACTTTCCATTCCTAACCACCTGTTCTTACACTGACTGTCTGGTGTATGTTCTGAGCATATGCTTTCTCACCCCCTGAAGCCAAATAAATCCTAATTAATTTGGTTTCCTATAGATTAACATTGCAGAATTGCTAAAGAAGTTCATGAAACCATAGGAAAGATTAAACTAAGTAGCTGGAGTACAGAGGTGTAATCACATTCCAGCAGCCTGCCTCTCTTTCCATACTTTGGAAAGGCTCCAACTGCCCCCCATACCCAGCTCCTGCCCCCGAATAAATAGCTCTAGTGACATTTTATCAGCCTATGAGTGGTCAAGTGAAGTTATTTGGTACTGCACTTTTATTAAACTTGATCCTCTTAATTATCTGTAGATGTAGTAACCTTTTCTTCATTAAGACCTAGGTTACATGACCACAATACTACAACTGTGTCCAAAAAAATCAGGGGTACAGGAATCACACTTCAGCAGGCTGTGAAGCATAAAATCCCCAAGACAGCCATCTCTTGTCTACTTGAGCACAGCGGACTGTTCACTCCCACTGACCTTTCTACAACGGAAACCCCTTGAATTCTCACCAGTAGAAAGGCATGCAAAATTGGCTCCCATACAAATCGACTTTAATCCTTTCAACACACATAGCAAACTTATTTATTTCACAATAACCCACTGATTTTAAATGGAGAATTTTCTGAAAAAGCAACTCGTGGGCTTATAACACATAGGAGCAAATAGCAAATATTTCCTTGGCTTATCAGAACAATGCCTTTGAAAGAGATACTGTCAGTGCAATATTGTCACTGATGCTTCAGAGAAGTCAGATTGGGGAATTGAGGAGACTGTTGAAAGAGTGCTCTATCAATAAACTCAGGAAAATGAGGATGAAGTTTGAACACGATACGCAGTGCATCATGCTTTTTTTTTCTTAAGTGCATGTACTCAGATATTGCTGTTTGTCAGCTCAACCTCAGCTGCTTCTAAGTACATCGCCTGTTTCACTGAGTGACTTGGTGGCAAGGTGTTTCACAAAAAGAATTTATATGGAGTTGCACAGTATTTCAAAGCATCAGCCTGGCTCACTTTTCCAGGTAATAACAACCTGCCATGTACATATGTAACTGTAGGGACTAATGAATTGTAAATAAACTGATTCTTTCTATCTATCTAGCAGCTACTAGAAACAACACAGGAGCACCTTGCTTTCAGTTTCAAAATGGAGAGAAGCAATTGCTACCAGTTCACAACTAGGGCTGCTAACATAGACAGCTGTAATAGCGTTTGGGAGGTCATAACATACTGAAGATCCCAATGAGAATCCACATACAGAAACAAACCCTTTGCAGAAGTCTTCTGCAAGCAGAGCCTTGTTTTCATGGGTGTTGCAACCAAAGCCAGGAGCCAGGTGCTGGCTTCTTTAAGAAGAAAAGCCGTTGTGGTAGCTGAAGATGCAGAAAGGCAAGCACTCAGGGTCAAGGAGCATGCACACCCTTACTAATGAATATGAAGGCTGTGCAAAATGAAAGGCTTTGTAGATGTGTTCTCCAAAACAGCTTCCTTCTGCAAACTATTCCAAGAGGCAAGCTCTTTCCTCTACAGCAAGCACAACTGAAATCAGGGTGGATACAAGATACCTATCGAAAAGTCTTTCAGTACTAGGATACAATTCCTTGTAGGAACGACTGGAGTTCCTATTATGGAGCAATGTTCGCTTTGTGTTTGTGTTGTATATTATACTCAAAGCTCTACATGAGCTCTCATCCCTCAAGTGAGATGAAATGGTACCTAAACATCTCACCTCTTCCAGTATGCCAGAAATGGGAGCAATGAGTTCTGTAGGGTCCCAGGACCACTTTGGTCTTTCCTAATTCAGGCCTTTGAGTCATGTGAAAATTATCTGCCTGACACTGTTTTTACTTCCAGAGGCTGCACATCTAAGTTTCACTGGTATGTTATGGCAGTCTAATTATATGCTTAAAAAGTTTCCCATGAAAGAATATCAACATTTTCAGTTAACCACTTCAAGCCACATAAAATACTATAGAGCAGTAAATCTGTGCTGTTAGCTTTCATTGGATGAAAGATATATGCATGGCATATGCAGGGAACAGGCAGACAGACTCAGAAGTGGTTGAAAGAGCAACAGATGATCTATGATACATCCCTGTTCATGACTTCTTCATGACTCTTCTTCCTGATATGCCTCCACTTGCCCTTTACATGGCAAAATTTCCTCATTTTTCTTATCTGCCGATAAACATGCACATCTTGCCTCCCTGCAGCCTCAATAATATTTCCTAGTAAAGCAATACAGTTGCAAAAGATCAGAAGTTAGCACTTCACCTCAGGGGTGAACTCCAGAAAAGCATGCAAGAAGAGTAGGACAAGACCTGACATTAATACTCTAAAAGAGACCGTGATAATACCATTTGGATGCCATTTGCTTTTACTTTTTCTTCTGGAATTCAAAAGGTTATTCCTCACTTACAGGGTAAAACATGCCATCCAAAATTATGAATTCCCTAAGTTTGAAAAACTGAACCAAAATAGTTCCTGGTCTATGATGGGTTCAAAGCATTTTAGAAAGCGCTCTGCAAATTTCTAACCACAAACAAGAAAAGAGAGACAGTAAATGACCAAATAATTATGCATCAAAGAAGAGATGTAAATGCAAACATCTGTATTTAACAATGTCAGGTCTTGTGCCAAATACAGTCCAACAATCCACCAACACATTAACATCAACTCTCTTGGTTATGAAAATATTTCCAGCTGAGGGATTAAACCTGGACCAGAACTCTAGCCCTTAGACCTCACATAAGACATGACTTGGGAAGCACCAGAGAGAATAGAGGCACTTCCAGCAACTGCTGGGAAGTCGTAACTCTGGAGTCTACACAGCAATGTACCACCACAGACAGCAGCAGAAGCTTCTTCATTTCTAGTCTTCTTTTATAGCCTTTAGAAAAGTTACAATTCTGCTCCCCTCAGCTCAACCTGGGAAGCCTGTGGGAAAGAGTGCTGGTACCAAAATCTCCACTGGAATAGATTATTATTTTAAAATTAAAAACAAACAAACAAAGCAAACCACAAACAAACAAAACCAGAAAGTCAGATAAAGTATGAAAACTCTTTGTTGGCAGCCAAAATACCAGTGTAAGAGATCCTCAGTGAAATAAACAAAACAGAAAAAGCCTTGTCAAAAACCGAGGGTAGATTACTGTGGGATCTCAGTTACATCACGGATTACCAGGGAGTCCCACTTTGCATTTCAAAAAGTGTATTTGCTCAGACACTGTGGCATAAACCTACCCTTGATAAGTTTAGTTCTTTACCTGACTTTCCTCATGGCTTTTTCCATTTTCTAGCTTTGCAATGGGCTTAGGTTTTCTCAGCTTCAAGTTACCCATTTCAGGCTTTAGAGCATAGTCAATTACAGCCTGCTGCTTGTGATGCTGAGTATCTTGCAAAGGCAGCTGCCTTTCTTCTAAGACAGCAGTGTTGTCCGGATAGTTTTCTTTGTTATCATCATCTCTGTAAGAAAATAAAATTGAAATGTATCAGGTAGGACTTCAGACACCTGTCAAAACATTATGAAGGAAAAACAGCTATAAGTTCTTAACTCTTCATGGCATTTTAATTTTACCAATTTGAGTAGTCTACACCTCAAACACTGCATATGTTAGTAACATGCACCTGAGAGGCTACTGTTTACTGTAAAATCACAAGTTAAACTACTGTTAGTATTATTACACATTCAACTGTGGAGCCATTTAAATAAGACTAGTTTTAAAGGCACTTTCTGGTTTCAGCCCTATAGTTCATATACCCCAAATAAAACCTGAAACTGTCTTTTTCATGCAGGAGACCTTTCCCCATCTGGGTTATAATGTCACAAAAATGTCATCACATCCAGTAATTCCTCCCCATTTATAGAGTCTCACTTCCCTTCTGACAGTCTGACAGTCTGCTTTTGAGGGCTTTTGGACAAAGTGAGGGAGGCAGGCATATGAAGTAGGGTTTGGACAGCCAGAGGTGTGTTTGGGTGGAAGGGACAAGCGTCATGTACTCCCAGTTTGGAGCAAAGGTCCTCCTGTGTAACAGCACATATGGTGGTTTAAACAGACACTGTTGCTCATGGATGCTCAGGTAATCACTGAATCTGATATTTTCAATCTCCGCCTAGCCTACAGACCTAGCCATCAATCTGCAGCCTGTTCTAAGACCCTGCTAGCCTTATCCACACCCTGTCAATCCACACTTAGACTGGTGTAATGCCTTTCACTGGGAGCATTGCCCTGGTACCATTAAGAAAGCTACCGCAACGCACAATGCAATGCTGCCTGCTTAGTTGGCAGGGTGAGCAGATTGGCATTACTGCTCCCTGGCTGTTGCACAGTTTGCAGGTGAAATTCCAGATGTCAGTTTCAGCTGGTAAAATCCTAATGTTTAGCTGAGAGACGACCTCTCTCCTGGTGTGGAACTTCCATAACTGAGGGGTTCAAGAACTATTGATTTAATGCCCCTGAGATTTTTTTTTAGCAAGCATAACTTGTTAATTCGATGGTTTTTCCTAAGGATTCTGAGCTGCCAAACTCACTTTCCATCTGTGGCCCATCAGCATCCAGATGGATGTTTGCAGGGTGCCTATGAGTTAAACACCATTGCTGCCCAAGCCTTATGCAAGTGTGCTCAAAAGACAGTTGTTATAGTTACAGGGTAGGGTGCTTTATATCCTAGGGCATTTCAACAATGTGCAGAAGTGTTGCTAATTTTAAGGTAACATCTGATTTAAAGCTTTAAATTCTTTCTGAAAGGTTAAGTTGCATCCTATAACAATCAACATAAACTAACATAGCCATGAGAAATACATGCCTCAAGAATACTTCAGTTGAATTACAATTTGAATTATGTTTTTTTCACAGAGATACTCATCAATGAGTGTATCAGCATATCCTTATAGAGTTGCAAAACTCCACGTACTAGTACTTTGTACTAGCTGCTATACAGTAAAATTAGCATCAGTGGTGCATCTGAACGGAAGCAATTTGATGTGAAGTTAAGAACACAGACCATAATAAATTTACTTACATAATAACAACTTAATATCTTTTACACAAAAGTATACAAGACAAATATGCATTTCCCAGAAATACTAATAGCCTTAGCAGTTAATACCCTAGGAATTCTGCATTCCCTTAAGAATAACAGTTTCTTTCTAATGGTTTACAGAAGCATTCTGACAGCTTTATTTGTTGCCAGTGATTTCAGACAAAATTTGCAGTAGAATACCTGGGGCTGGAACTGCCTGCTTGATCTTGATGTACAGAGTCGGAATCGCCGTCACACCTTGAAAATGGAGAGAAGATAATTGATGATTTTCTGCCAGCTGCAGAAATTTAGCTTTTAATAACGTGACAATGCAGCTCAAAGCATAAACACATTTCTCCTTCTCTCACATTAGCCATTGTCATTTAATTCCATAGCTGCTCCATGATAGTCTAAATCTCAGAGGAAGAAAAGGATGTGAGATTTGAAGTGTACATGATTTGGTATGTCATCTTCAGCCAGATGGAAATAATGATGAAGAAGAATTCAAATGTTACATAAAAAATACAGGAAACTTACTGTGTTTTAATTGCTTATATGTGCTTCACATTAAAAAAAAAAAATAGAAACAAGTAGCAAAGGGTGTTTTTCTCCAAGACTCTCAAAAATATTAACTATATTAGAGCAGTCATTCTTTGTACAGCAGGAAAATAAATCCCCAAATACATTAGAAAGTCTTAAAAAGTGAAGTAGCAGATTTTTTTTAAGATACAAGAAGAATCATAATCAATTACATCCCCTATGTTAAAAACATAAGGCTGCCTAATCAAAAAAGAAATCTGGATAAATATGCTAACCACTCAGTGCTGAACACTATATTGTGTAGATTGGCTAAACTTTGTAGAATAACTGCAAAGGCTATGAGCAGTCTTTCCTCAAATAATATACATGCATATGTTTACATACACTTCTAAAATTAGGCATACATCCTTTCAAGGTATTATTTGGGGGCAAAAGTTGGGGTCCTCCTGTCACCCCTATGTTCATACTCACAGAGTACAGACACTAAGCAGGCCTGGATCACTTGAAGTTTCCTGGCAGAGGAATCTCTTCATTATGGGGGAAGCAGCCTGTACTTCCGCTGACTTGTTAAATTTTCAGAAGAGCTTAAGGACAGAGCACATTGAGTGATAACAGCTCTGTGCTGCAATTTGATAGCAAGGTTTTAAATATATTCCTCTTTCCCACCAGTCCTCTGCTAGTATCTTTATCAAAAGCCAGACTGCAGCAGAAAGTATTTAAAGGGACACTCAAGTGTTTACACTTCCTGAATACATCAGCATACGGATGAAAGCATTTGCTGCTCACAACTGGAACACATAAATACAGTTGCATATCCCCCCTAATCACACAATATTCCTTCAGTGAGTGCAATTTTCCCCACAAGGCAAAGTGGGGTGACAGATGGAAGACAGAGGCTGATGTACAAAATGAATAAATTCACTGTAGAAATCTAGTTGCCTTTACCTCCAAGATGCCAGTCACACCTTCCCTTCTGGTCTATCACTAATTACCTTATGAACACCAGCAAGGTATAAGGATAGGACATACTGGGGGTATGAAGAAGGAAGCCCAAAGACTCCCCAAAGGGACAACCTCTCTGTCCTGTATGTGCCACAGGAAGAGGAGGTAGGAGGAAGCAGCTCTGCTACCAATTTCATCCACCTCCTTCTCTCACCAATCACCACACTTGGCAATCTTCAGTCCTGAAAGACCAGTCTGGTAACTGGGAACGCTCACTGGAGGGACAATAGATGATTGAGCACAAGTCTATCAGCCAAGTCTATGTGCACATACTTATGTGCACGCTCCCTAATTTGGGAAAGTTCCCTGGGGGTTGATTTCCCTAAACTGACTGTCATAAGGTGATCTTGAAGAAGTAGAGATCCTAACTTAGCATCCATCAACTGATTAAAGTCGTAAAGCAAGACAGAACTTATAAACAACACAAGTGAGCATGACAAAATGTATTTGAATAACCAGATAGCACTAGATAAGAAAGATAAGCAATAATGAATCAGAGAAGACTGTGGCCATCATGTAATAAAAGATTGCAAGGAAGTTCAGAAGCAACACACTGAAATTGTTAACAGAAATTTTTCTCCTCATAAAAATAAATACTAACCAAGACAGCTTATTCACACAGACTGTGCTTGAGGCTAAGACCATAGCAGGACCTTTAAAAAGACAAATTCCTGATATAATGCATATATCCATTACTAAAGCACAGTGTTTTTACCTTGGCTTCTTTAAGAAATGTAATTTACATGTTCATGCCACGTGTCTGCACATATCAACACAGACATGCACGCATACTTCTCACCAGCAACTTGTAAATCTTGTTGTCCAACTTTAGCTATATTTAACAGATAAAGGGATAGGCAAGAGTTTGATCAGTTTTGAACAGCTTGTGGCTACATGAGAGTTCTCACCAATCCAAAAACTATAGCAGCATCTCACGCATTCCTAAAACATCTGACAACATGCCAGAACTGCCTCAAGATATAAATCCATATGGGCTGAAGATTACATTGAGCAGGAAGCATGTCTTCTGACCAAAACAGTGATGTGAATCATTTTCCTTCAGTGGCCAATCTACCTACTGATTGATGGATATGTCTCTCAGAAGTAAGGACATCCTCTCAGCAGTAAATACATCTCATGTCATGAGCCAGTCAGGTCAGAAATGGGATCCCAGTCTAAATGGACTGCTGCTCATACTTTTTATAGTACTGCCTCTTATGATTCTTCCAAGGATTTCTGGTTTAACAGGATTAACTTTTTTAACTTTCTTCCATTTTCACCTTTCCATAGGAGCCATTTCAGTACCACTTGAAAACTGCTCCCTTTTGCTGACCTGACCTTTAAGATGTTCACATGAACTACTCAACCAGGCTGCACCCATGGCTTGCTTAGCAGCCCCAGGCACTCGCATTGTCTGGAGAAATGTTCCTGAAAGTATTGTATCACCGATTTTATACCATTCAGGAGCATTTGATTTTGAATTCACCACAAACAGAGACAGAAAATGTTAAACAAGGATGTCTAAAGTTGCATGGCAAGCTCTCTATTCTGCTAAACAAAAGTAACCTATTTTTAGATCTGACCAGCACAAGCAACTAGAGCTGAAATCAGTAAGAACTGCAGCTCTTAAAAACAGGCTGGGAGGAGGGGTTTGTGGGATGGAAGGAGGCTCTAAACAAGAATTAGAGAAGTCAACTCTGGAAACCAAGTTTATTTATTTGTACAACACATTTCAGATGTCATTGCTCACTTGCTTTATTTTCTAAAAACATGTTTCTACTTCCGTGTTTGTAAAGATAAGATTAAAAATCAAAGCCTCTGAAACAAAACCGAAAGCAGCTTAAATGAGGGAGATTCATCCTTCAGGCAATGCCTGGCCCAGTCTCGGCTCTGCCATGCTGCTGCCTTGCGGCGCATCAGGGCACAACACAGCACTGTCTGCACCCTTCTGCCCTTTCCCCAGGGGCAGTGCTGACACTATGCAGACAACTTTCATGCCAACCTGGCCCTTGCCATAATGGTCACACATAGTACTACAGAGAAAGGCATCACCTTAAGGTCCCAGAAACCTTAAGGGTGAGGCTAGCACAGGGACTGCTCCAAGGAAATCTCTGTGGGAAACAATGGATGCACTCAGGGAGAGAGAAAAGGGAAAGAGAAAAAAAAAAAGTTAATGAAAACTGTACTATCTGTAATGTGGTTATTCTTTTGCGAAGGGGGAGCATCCCAGAATTTTAGAGACTTAACTAATAGGGACATGAGAAAATAATTTATTTAAGAAATTTCTTAATAATTTATTATCTTTTGTTAAATCTTCCCATATCTGCCACAGTCACACAGAAAGTCTGACTAAGTTAATATGTTAAATAAAGCAAGACATTGTAAACAAGCACAACAATGTAAGAGAGGGAAATTCCTTGAATCCCTATGAAATGTTACTTTCCCTGTAGGGATTTTAGCAACACTTTGGGATGGCTCAAACAATTACAATGCGGCCTGCTTTCAGAATGTATCCTGTCCCCACAACTCTTAGGAAAACAGCTCACTGCCCAGCTAGTGTGTTTTGAATTTTGAGTAATTTTCCAGTGCAAAACTCACCTAATACACAAATAAATCTATAAATCATTTCCTTCCTGAGAAACTGCTTGGCACATTACTGCTGAAGAATATTCCCAAGAAGCTTTTGAAACAATCAAAAGCATGTAAGGTAATAACATAGAGAACACCAAAACTGAAGTGGTTTAGACTGAAATAAAACAAAGATGATTTCATTGGTAATAGTTCCTTAAAACCTTTGCCTTTCTAACTTCTTAATGTTCTCTCTTGTCCTGCTGTCTCTTTAAGACAGAAAAAAAAACAAAAACAACACATTTATGTATTGTTATGCTCATTATATATATGAAAGGGCTTTTAATGAGTTTATGGAATTGATTATAAAGAGATGACATATTTGGTACTTGGTATGTCTAAATAATATACAAGGGTTTTTTTCACAATATTTGCAATTTTTTTTTTCTAATAATGCTTGCAGGAAGTACAGACCATGTGTTCTTAGAAAACTGACATACTTGGGTTTGTCAAGTACCATAAATAAACAATATTTTCACGGAAGTTTTATCCTTCACTGAAAATCATGCATTTAAACACGTGTGATGTGCAGCAAACATACATTCTCCCAGAAAAATATTTCACTGGTAAATGGTCACAGAGCATGTAAAGGCAGCTGTTTCATGCAATCTTTCCCATACAGTTAATAATATACTTAGATAACAGAAGACTGAATTAAAATATATGGAAGATAGCTCTGTAATTCTACATACTACTTACAATTATTCTCTACAGCAATTAAACTCATCATTCTTATTTAGAAATAAGGACATCTTTAAAGTGTTCACTTACTCTGCTAAAGCTGTTGAGTTGAAGGATTTATCCTGAATGCTAAAACAGAAACAAGAAAACATCAGATAAGTCAGCAAGGCAGGCAGGCTCCCTGAATCCTCCTCAGTTGTAGGAGCACATGCACAAACATGGCATTGCAAGGCAAGCCTCTGTGTGTTAGCTCTACATGCACGACTGTACCTTCGGCTGCTCTGCACATGCTCATAATCAAGGAACCATAGGGATTATCCTACAACACTCACAAAGCCCATCCAGCAGCGCTTTGAATTACTACAGGGATCCAGGTAGTCTGTGAGGCTCAGAAAGGGATCATATTCTTCCATAACTGTAACAGTGCTGCTAATAAAGGCTTGGGTTAACAAACAAGTGTCTGCCATTCCATCCTTTAAACATTTGTTCTATGCAATTAGCTCAAACACAGTTGTTTTTATTACTTAAATAGGGTTGCTCAGCTAAGATCTCTGGAGGTTTTTTCTTCTTGTTTAGTGGTCCCTTACACACTCAGCGCATGGACAAACCCCAGGGGAAAAAATAATCTGGCAGAAAGGATAGTAAAAGGTTATTAAGCTAGCAGCAAGCAATAGGTGAAACCATTCCTGTGAAAGGCATAGGCTGACGTGCTCCTGTCACAAAATATTTCAGACCTTATGAAATACATTCAGTAGGGGTCAACTCAGGATACCTTAAACTGAAGGTTTAGAGGCAGCTGTGGAATCCCCCCTTAAACACCACCTCTCAAATACAGTAAATAAATTCACTGTTAGATCATCCTGAAATTTTATAGCAGCAGGTATAGCAGCAGGAAGAAAAAAAAAAGGAAAAAAAAAAAGAGAAAAAAGAAAGAAAGAAAAGAAAAGATAATATCTCATTGCTACAGATTTATTTTTTTTTGCTTGGGTGGGGAAGGAGAAGGCAGTGGAGACATCATCTGATGAGCTTTGCTGTTTGTGACAATGACAACAGCACCAAGCAGAGCAAGGGTACAGAGGAGTGCAGCGTCCTCCCTGCAGCAGCTTGTGCCACTGCCTGGTGTTGACACTCATAACCGGCAGCAGCAGCCAGGAGCCACAGCTGTGACAATTTCCCTTCCTTCACCAGCAGCGCTAACAGTGTATCTTATCTTCATCTCTTCCCAGCCTTCCTACCTGCTTGCACATACTATTTAGCTCTTTTCTTTGCCGTATTTGCATATATACCACAATTTATACAGTAGCACAAATTACCTGGGGTTTGGAGTATCACAGAGAGCGTATAGGGATTTCTGCCCTAGAGATCAGCAGGTTTCGTGAGAGAAGGGTGAAAAGCTAAATTTAATGGTTAGCATATTAATCCTACCTTAGGCCTAAAATTTCCATTCTTTTTCTCCTCCTATTTCCAGGTTTTTGGGTCTGAGCATACAAATATGATTTTTTGTTTGTTTGTTTTAATATTTGCAGTAGAGCACCTGAACAAAAGATACACTTCTAGCTGTTGTGGCAATCAAAACCACAATTTACATGCTAAAAAAGTAGATGACCACTAAAAAAACCCGATATTATTTTAAATAAATATATTCCAGAATACTTAAGTGCTTGGCCTTTTTTTTTAATGCTTAGGCTAGGATTACAGCTATCATTTCAGGTGTGTAATGGAGGAATCACAAATTTTTAATCACAAAATCACATTGATAAACATCATAGCTTGGTTAGAGCAGAGCGTAAAGAGATTGTGCGTTTATCCACTCTTCCCTACATATACCCCACAGGAAAGGAAGCTAACACAAAATGCTCTTGTAAACATGTAGTACTGTAAAACATCACACTTCAACATACTGCTGCTTTGTTGTATCATCGAAAGACAATTTTTCTGCTAAAAAACCTTCCAATTTTATACCCAGTTTTGTTCTTACCCTCTTTTGCTAAATGTTGATCAAGCCAACATAAATATCACATGACAGTTCTCAGCTGACAACAAAAATCTTGGAGAGCTCCAAAGCAAATATCTACATATATTTTGGGGATATCAGAATTCAGGAACACATTGCTCTTCTTCTGAAAATTTGACTAATATATTTCCTATTTACGGCTGACAATAGGTTGGCATCAAAATTCTATCCTTTGGTTTGTGTCATCAAGAAAATTACTGCTAAGACAGGAGAAAGATTAAAATAGGAATCAGCCTCCAGCTCAGTTTTGCACATAGTAGAGACACATGCTCGACATAAATGATGTTCATAAGTTCAGAACAGCATTAGTTGGCACTATAAGCACATGCCAAGCAATGAATGCATTACAGAGACGATATGGTCTAGTTGCAGAATACTGCAAAAGAGAGAGGTAAGTGAGACAGAAGCAGGCAGTAGTTCTAGCTTCAGGAGAACAGGAGACAGTGCAATAATCAAGATCAAAAGGTCAGAAAAAAAGGAGGAACAGTAAAGGTTGCCAAGCTATAGTTGTCTAAATGGTCACAAACACACACCCCGCACCACTGCAGAAACAGTGGCAGCTTGGTTTCACCTGCAGAACAGAACCTTTGCCTCAATTTCCAGAATTTGCTCATCTCTGTAAATTTTCTCTGTGTTTTCTTAGGGGCATTTCTGACTCAGGTAAATGATGAGGCCTTTCAGCCATAAAGATGAAATAATGAAGAATTTCTATTAGGAAATAAACTGTATGTTTAGAGGGAGTAATACATATTTAAAAAGAGCTCTAAACTCTCTGAGGCTCTGGAAAAGTTAGTATTTCTGTACTTAATATCCACTATCTAATGACAAGCTCAGTGCAATCCTACAGGGTATGATTAGCATTTATTGCAAGACTATTTTCTTTATTATTATTTGTTATTCCACAGAGCCCAAAGAGCTTGTGCTGAAATTGCTGCATCAGAGGCAATTACATTTTGCATTATGGTTAGGCCATACAAGGGATCTGCACAAGATGTTGTGGAGGGACACAAGAGATGCGGTATGACACGCTGTGCATGACAAGGAGCCCAAGGCAACTCTCACAGCTCTGGGAAGAAGTTACTCATGTTCCACTACCTAAATAAAGGGAAAGTTGGAATGATCTCCCCTCCTACTGACTCGCTGGATGAAGTCAAGTCATCCCTGCCAGAACCAGCTGAGCTCAGAGATTCATTAAAGCATTGAGCAAATCTGTTTGCCTTGAAGTATGTGTGTTCTTGCCAAGTAGCAATACCTGAAGTGCTCCCCCTCAAATTGTACCAACAAGGAGATGCACTCACTCCTACCTGTATGCAGACACAGCATGTGCTTTCATGGATAAAATACATTCAACTCCACCAAAGAGCAGATTAAATATGCTTGCCTGTCAGGTCACACTGCTACTTCTGAGGTCATGCTTGTGGCAGAACACTTCTATTTAAGCAGAAAACAAACTGAGGGATTGTTTTGCCTTCAGCAAGTCCATTCCCTTCCAGTACACAGGGCTTTCTTATGGGCTGAGTGGGGATCATTCTGCAGCAAAATGGTAGCTGTCTGGATCGCTCCAGTGCCTTGCCGTTTCTTCAGAAGTGATTCTGCAGATACTTCTGCTATTTTCCAATCAGTAAGGCATAAACCAGGGAGCTGCCATGTGAGAGAGAAGTCACATGCCTCTTTCCTGTAGTGACAAATACTGAATGCTACACTGCAGCTCAAAATATTCATGTGTTCGTTCACTTGCTTTCTTGACATGCAGTCTGCCTTTTTATGGCTAACATTCTCAGAGACATCAGAAAATATCTTAAGACAAATGAAACTAAAATACAGCAATTACATGTAGAGGCCGGTTGGTGAGAACTCAGTACAGTTTCTGTATCTTTGATTTTCTCAGTGACCTAATTAGGACATCATCTGAGTGAATGGACCCAGGGGAAAAAGCATTCAGCTGATCTTGCTGTGTATCTTAAAATGCACAGACACGCTCATGCAGGAAAAACTCCAGCTGAGCATAGGTGCAGTAACAGTTGTCATAAACAACCCAGGGCAATTCCATAACGCACATATATGTTGGATTGCTAAAGCTTTGTGCAAGTGCACAGACCTTCAAAGTTATATTTTCAGAAGATATTTCAATGAGCAATCAAACTGCACATACTTCCTTACTCAGGCCTTCTAAGCAGTGGGCCCATGAATCTCATACACACTCCCATAGTACACCCAAGTTTGCACTGAGGGAGGTACATCTACCCTATAGCTCAAAAAGCACAGTCGCTCATCAGCCTCCCTGCTCTCTTAAAAGGGAAAGTATTATGGAATTATTTTGTGCAGATTGGAAATTCTGATCTGTGAACCACTTCAGTCCTATCATTTGGGTTACACTTCTGCAGCTCAGGTGCACACACCTGAGCAAGCACTAACCCTGCCAGTGAGGAAACTGCCCAAGAACATGGTAATCACTGGTGCAGGGAGCACAAACTAAGCTCCGTGCTGGAAGGCTACGCTGGTGGTGCCCTGATTAATTAGCACAAGCCTGCTTCATATAGTTCTGCTGACTTGAGGAAGTGTGCTAAGCTGGAAATACAGAACTGTGCCTACAATTCTGTTACTAAAGACCAAGCTGCTTTATGAAGTCCCATCAGCTCTGTTGAAAATCTCTATAAAGATGTCCAAAAATCATTATTCAGCATGCACTAGGCTGCATGATAAACCCAACTGTACTAGTCAAACTGAGGCTAATGACTGAACTATTATAGGCAGTAAAACTTGATCAACTGCAGTCATCCACTGCAGACAATTTAATATTGCCACAGATGACAAAACTATTTCCAGGAGGTTTACACCAAAGTCCAGCTAGACTCAACATAGCACTAATTCAAAACCAGTTTTTCCTCTGACCATTACAAGATAGGGAAAAATAGACATACACATGTATGCACTCCTAATTTTATTGAGGTGCCCAGAATGCTTCAACAGATCACTACACCTAGAAATAAACACTCTTATTTAAGAAGCCTTGATCTTTAAATGTCTTCTTACTTAAGAAAACATCAGTTGCAAGAATGACCTCTGTGAATTAATTTACATGCCTGATGTGTCTGCAAGATCACCATGTTCCTTTTGCCTGTGATAGTAGAAAGAAAGGCAAATAAATGCAAGGATATTGTAAAAAAATAACACTCCTTCCCTGGAGCAGAGCATGTGTGGAGAATGTGTTTAGATAACGTTATCAATGGAGCGGCTTTGTTCTGTTTGTGGTGGTTTTTTTTAAATGTTGTTCATTCTTTTTTTGTTCAAGTTAATAGTGCAGGAATGCTGCAGGGTCATGTTCCTCCTTTTCCTAGTCTAATTATTTTAACAATGGAAAACAATAACAATATTAATTAGTATTGCATACAGGAAAGTTCTTAAGAGGAATTAACATCTTGTGAACATCAAAATTAAGGAAATCCAGAATTAGGAAGTTTCACACTTTGTGTTTTTTCATCTGAAGACAACCACAGAGAACTAGGCAGCTCAACCAGGAACAGATTTCACTTTCTAACAATCAAGAGTTTCCTTTTCTTTCTAAAACTGCAGATCTTGCTGCACAAACCGAATGTAATCATATAGATAGAGGCCATAAGCAAGTAAATTATGAACAAAACTTCCAAATTAAGCTTTCATAGCATTTTCCAATACAAAATTAAATGGAAAGGTGAATTTGAGCTAAACCACATTTTCAAAAAGTTGAATATTTGAAAGTAAACGGAAAAACAAGCAGAGAGCTGCTCGTACATTCAGAAAACATTATATCTTTCTCTTGGGTCTTTAGATGAGTGGAGCCAAAAAGTCTGGCTCTTGTTAAGTCCAGACAGAAGAAAGACATGCAAGTTATGTACAATTCCTGGCTGTGTCTTGGGAAGACAGCTGTTGTCATGTAGAGCAATATGGATTATGCTGAGTAATTTACTTGTTTTCTGAAAGCAAAAGGAAACAAACAAGAAAATATGCTTTTTACTCAGATTTCCCTTTGCAGAACTCTTCCTTACCACATGGAAATCTAATTGTATACCTTGCGTGCACATACATGCACGCACATATGCATGCACGCATGTCTAAAATGTTTGTTTCTTTCAAACATCAATTCACAGGGCCATAAACCGGAGAAAACTTCAGTATTGGCCTTTTTCCACATCTGTCTGCAGCAGTATAATTACTTAGGAGGTGCTGTGCAAATCTTGCTCGCTATCCTCCATGTAACTAGCACAGTAGTACATACTACCTTCTGTCACCTATAACTTCACCTTCCCAGCAGCAGAGAAGCCACAGTGCTATAAACCAAAACCTATACCAGTGTAGAAGTCACATATCAAAGCCAATTTACAGCAATTGCTGCTTAATATTAGAGTTTATTCTCAGTGATGTGTAGGCCACACCTCTTTAATTAGCATTATCAAAGAGCTCCATTGTCAGCAACTATGTGTTTAAAAAAGGCACCTAGCCTTCTCCCCAAGCATTTTCTGTGCACCACATGACAACCAGTGATTAGTCCTATTGATGCCTGAGGGACAGTTCAGGTAACATTAAAAACAGATGCACAATGAATACCCTCTAAGCCTCTTTCTAGTTTACAAACGTGTGTGTGTGTGTGTGTGTGTGTGTGTGTGTATTTTTACTCTCTGATTACAAGCAGAAAACACCAACATGCTCAGAGGGCTGGGCAGCTGTACTGGGGTCCATGCAAAGCTATGCTAGTTTACACCACCCAAAGACACTGTCCACAGTATCTATAGCCCAGTAGGGTTGTTCTTTTGATATGACGTGCCTGAATACTTTCTTGGTATATAGCCAGACCTTGCATATTTCTTTTCATAGCTTGCTTCCTACTTTCTATTTTTGTTGAAAGGCAGGAAAATCAAAACAGCACAGGCAGATTATGAAGTATTAACATAAAAACTAATCAAAGATATGATACGTAAAACTACACCATTATATGTTACTTAACTTCAACACAAGCTATTTTTCTATTTATGAATTTAGATGATATTCAGAGAATTCTGAATAGCCACTACTGCTTGCGTGACACCAAGAATGATGACTAAAATTCAGAAAGAGAATAGTAATAAATAAAAAAAATAGCTACAAAAGGACAAACTGTACTTTAACACATAATCATAGAATCATAGAATAGTTAGGGTTGGAAAGGTACTTAAGATCATCTAGTTTCAACTCCTCTGCCATGGACAGGGACACCACATACTAAAATATGTTGCCCAAGACAATAATAAATTAGCAGAACTAGTTCTCATTTGGAAACAAAAGAAAATACGGGCAGTGACACATAGATATTTAGGAGTGAATTTAGCTTTACACTGCATGACTCTGAATATTAAAAATATCTGAAAAACTAAAAATAAAATTGCTTATTGTGTCTGAAAAAACAAGGAATCTCCATTTGCACATATCAGATACAACTGTACAAGACAGGAGATCCCACTGAGAGTTTTTTAACCCCATTCACTGCAGTCGGTATCTTTACATATATGAATCTTGCTACTCCTTTGTCAAGTGTTTATTAATTTCAGGGTGTCCTGGGTTCAGCAGTAGCAGTCATTTTTCTCCTTCTTGGTAGCTGATGCAGTGCACTGTTTTGACTTTCGGCCTGAGAACAGAGCTGATAACAACAATGTTTTGGTTTGGCCAAGGACTTTGTGAGCCTCATGCTCTGCCAGGGAGGAGGGGAAGCCAGGAGGAAGCAGAGACAGGACACCTGACCCAAACTGACCAAAGGGGTATTCCATACCACAGCATGTCGTGCCCAGGATGTAACTGGGAGTTAGCCGGAAGGGCTGGGAGACTGCGGGGTTGGAGGAGGTATCGGTCGGTGCTTGGTCGGGCTGGGGGGGGCAAGTTATCAGTTGGCTGGTGGTGAGATGATGTATTCTCTTCCCTTGTTATTTCCTTTATCATTATTATTATTGGTGGTAGCAGCAGTGATTTGTGTTATACCTTAGTTACTAAACTGCTCTTATCTCAACCCATGGGAGTTGCATTCTTTTTGATTCTCTTCTCCGTCCCTCTGGTAGTAGGGGGAGGGAAAGAAGTGGGGGGAAGTGAGTGAACGAATTGCCTGACTCGGTTTAAACCACCACACAGGAGCTAGCAGGGTCAGAAGAAAAGTTCATGTCATTAAGTCAAAATTGATAAAATGTGTTTATTTACATTTTTTTTTCTGAACTTGCTTCATGCACCACATAAATATAAAACCAAGACACATACAAGTTCTGGAGCCCTCTGCAAGCCATGGTAAAAGCCTATCAAGAAGTACATTTAGTTGACTTATTTCTGAATGTCTTCTCAGCATAATATTTATTACCAGCCATCTTACCTCTCATAGAGAGGAAAAGCTGTCCACACGGCGAGCAATTCTGGACAGGGAGAAAAGATAGAAAAGAATGTGATGGGTAAAAATAATGAAACTGATATTGGAGGAAATAATAGGAAGACATGAACAAACTCCAGAATAAATACAGCAATATAAGCAAACAATCACAAGGTAAAACACAATTGTGATAGGCAGCTGGGGGAGGTCCCTTTATTTCTAAGCATTAGCTCACCTATTTTTGTAGGGGTTTATGATGATGCAGTTGCTCATTCTCAATTCCAAAAAAAAAAAAAAAAAAGGCATGGTAATGAATCACATAACTTTTTTTCTGAGTTTTCCTGAATTTCTATTCACTATAATGAATAGTCAATGACATTTGAAACCCACTGATTCAGATCATTAACTTCTTCAATATCATGATACTTTGACATCAGAAAAGTCTCGTCAGTTATGATACATTCCCCTGCACTTGTATCTCACTGAAATGCCATGAAAAAGCCACTGAATACTGGCATCAACAGTCAGTGGTCAGCTCCTGCTCAGCATCTACCTTGCTGTTTTAATTTCTTCTCATAGCAAGTAGTTCTCCTCTATCTGGCTTCTATTTCTACCCAGGCTCATGATCTGTGCTAATGTCCTACCACCTACTATTTTAATGTACCAGAAGGACAATGCACAGATAGAAGTTTGTTCTTTTGAAGTTTGAGAAAACAATTAACTCAACACATTTTGTTGTTTTGTCTTTCCCAACAACCAAAATATATATATTTTTTTTTTTTCTTTTAGATTGAGGGAAAGACAGAGACATTCTCAGCAGATTGTGTCTTTCAACACAGTAAACCAGCCAGGTAAGGACAAAGCACTCCACACATTAAATAACACAATACTATTACATAAGATTCAGCTTCATGGCATAAGAGAACCCCACAGAAAATACAAATAAATGGTACAGAGATGTCTTATGTTCAAATTTACCTTCTTATTACTTAAAAGCATTTTCTTTTGCATAATGGTTGTTTGGGAAAGAGAGAAATGTGTGGCAGTCACCAAAACACAGAGAACAAAGGACCTAATTTCTTTATCATCAAGATAAGGAAATACCTACATAACTGCACACCATCTGTTCTCTTGGCATTTTACTCTCCTGCTGTGCCACGTGCACATGTGCAATTTTATCTTGTGAACTGGCTTGGTTCCTTTGCTGTGCAAGAAATATCCTGAGAAAGCAAAGAGCTAAAGCATGTTTGCAGAAATGCCCTGTACCAGAACCACAAGAACATCTCCATTGCTTAGGTAACAGGGTTTCTTGCCCCTCTTACCAAGAGCTGAGTTCTGATATAGCCAGACCACAGGTGATCTACCATCCATGGTCCACACAAAGGTCCTTACAGCAGCCCACGATTTTCATGGGACCAGGCTTTTTAACTCGTAAGGGGAGGTCCTCTACCAAGGGCCAGGACAAATCTCACCCAATGAGATTTTGCAAAAGACCTCTCTTCATCCTGACTTAGAATGTCTCACAGAGGTCTCTGGAATTAGTTGCGTAAATGGCTGAAGCACACAGAGAGGACAGCAGTCAGTCTTCCAGTTATAAAACTGTCGTGGTTTAAACCCAGCCAGCCAGCTCATTCACCCACTCCCCCCCCTTTTTACTCCCTCTTTCTTTCTTTCTTTCCTTCCCCATCCCCACCCCCCCACCCCCACCCCCCCACCCCCGCTCCCGGAGGGATGGGGAGGAGGATAGAAAGAATGCAACTCCCACGGGTTGGGACAAGAGCAGTACAGCAAACAATGTACAACACAAATCACCACCGCTACCACCAACGACAACAATAAGAGAAAATAACAAGGGAAGAGAATACAATACCACCCACCAAAAAATGAGTCTGACCCAGAAGCCTGTGTTCTTCTGGGTAACTCCCAGTTACCCCCCACCCCGGGCATGATGTGCTGTGGTATGGAATACCTCTTTGGCTAGTTTGGGTCAGGGGTCCCGTCTCTGCTTCCTCCCGGCTTCCCCTCCTCCCTGGCAGAGCATGAGGCTCACAAAGTCCTTGGTCAGGGTAAACATCACTTAGCAACAACCGAAAACATCGGTGTTATCAACACTGTTCTCAGGCTGAAAGTCAAAACACAGCACTGCACCAGCCACCAAGAAGGAGAAAAATTGACTGCTACTGCTGAACCCAGGACAAAAACACATTCCATGTTCTTTTTTGTTGTTGTTGTAGTTATTTGTTGGAATATGTTCTCATCCTAGGTTACCAACAGCTTTTAAGGCTCAAAAATAATTTAAAAGCCAAGATTTTCTCTGGGATGACCTTGGCCAGTTTAACAACTGATGACACTGAACATATGACCTCAGCTCACATAAATTTGGTCCCATTGAAAATTGTTTGTGACTCAAGTATTTCCTGTATAGATCTGCTGAAGAGAAACAGAAGCATATGGGAAAGACATTTCTGCAGGAAACAGCTTTACCACTTTGACATCTATTGCAATAGTTTTGTTACAAAAGGGCAATGAAAATTACTTTTCCCTTTTGAGACATTGAAATCCTTTGTTGCAAAGCACATTGAGGGCTCTTCATGA